ATTTGATCTCGTACTATCTCATAAGCAACATTATGCCAAACTCCCGCGTCCCAGGTTGTGCTCCACTTGGAGGTCCCCCCGACGAACCACTGCAGAGCCGGGTTGGACGTGCCAGCCGCCCCGGAGATCCAGCCCGACTTCATCTCCGTGAAGTGGGACTCGAAGAAGTTGATCTGGTGCTCGCGGTAGGTGCTCGGCGCGTTGGTCGCGGACCGCATCATGCTGAAGTGGTACCAGACCTTGCCCGTGGCGATGACGGCCGTGGTCTGCGGAATCAGCTCGATTCGACGCATCGGCTGGCCGTTCCAGTAGGCCGTGCTATCGAGGGTGAACTTTGCGCCTTGGGTGCTGCCCGAGTCGGCTGCGTTCTTGAAGGAAGGTGAAAGGTTGACGTAGGAAGTGACGGCGGAAGATCCATGCTGGTGGTGTTGCTGGTCAGTATCGAGGTTTGATGCAGCGGTCATGTACAGGTTGGTTATGGCGAGCAAATAGGATTCTCACGATGTAATACTGGTAAGGCCCGACTTGGTTGCTCCAGCTCCAGTTATTCAAATCCGTGCTTGAAGCGAAGGTGTTGAAGCGGCCGTCCCAGATAATGGAACTGCTGGCAGCACCAACCAGCGCTGCAAAGTACGACACGGAGAAGCGCATTTTGAGTCGCAAGTAAATATACCACAAGTCCCGACGAAGACGGATTTAACATACACTCTGAGAAAACAATCGTCGAGACGGAAAACCCCTCCATCTTTTAAGACTGCCTTGAAATCTTCCTGTACTTTCCATTCGAGGAAAATTCGGGCCGCAGAAGCAGAGTAGCTTATTACGCCTTAATCTAAATCTCGCGTTCTACGACTTGGATCGCTCCATCCATCCATCCTAACCGCCAAAAGCAAACCCTTTCCGTCGGAGCACACATTCCGAGAGACACAGTGAAAGCCATCCCTCATCAGTCAGCTCGTTTTAAGAGAAAGAAGAGAAAAAGACCGCTCCGCTCCTCTTCGACCCAAAATGCAGGCACGAAAGTAGCATACCCATCCACAGCCCACAGCAAAGAATGACATCCATAAATAACCACGTGGGATAAACAAGAGCCTCCGTACGTACATAGGTAATCAAATCTTACCATGTAACAACCCTTTCAAGCCATCCATACCCGCTCCCTGATCCATCCATCCATCCATCCATCCGCCCGGGCCGCCGCTCCCCCCGCCGTCCCTCAAGTTAAGCATAAAAGTAGCAGTAATTAAGCATGTGAAGCCCATCATTAACTCAGAGTCTGTATGGCTCGCAGATGCAAGCCAAGTTGCACTACCAAAATAGTAGTAGTAGTGTTCTTGCATCTCCAAGTTGCGCGTCAAGATGCACGAGTTTAAGCAATCTGTATGGCTCGTGCACGTAAATCTTCTAAAAGTCTGCATTTGACCTTGCAACTCGTACTTGCACCATACAAATCGAAAGTTGCCCCCCCCCAAAAAAGGCTTTGTTAACTTCTAAGTTGCCTTGCGGCTTAGTATGCGCTTGGATGGATGGATATGCATAATATATATATATATATATATATATTTATATACATTTATCTATCCCCCTATCTATCCGTCTAACCTTCTATCCTTCTATCTTTCTATAACTATTATACACACACACACACAAACACACATAAACACATATCCAATGATAAAATAATACCCAACAATCAAAAGTCCTGGGTGGCAGGGGGAGTAAAACAAACAAACATTGATACGAGCGAGCGAGCGACTGAATCGATTTTGTAATTCACACACACGACCCGCGAACCATGGGTATCTACGGAATACTCCGTAAAGAAAGCGAGAAAAGAAAAAAGTAAAAGGGTAGATAGGCATTTCACAGGGTAGTCAATTATCAGACTAATTGATAAATCAAATAATGTACCATATAATATACCAATTGACAAACTAACTAGCTGGCTGTGATTCTGAAGAAAGCACCGCGAAATATGTCTACGGGGGAAAAAAAAAAGATTTTTTTTTAAAAAAAGCAGGACTCCCCCCTCCCGTTCGCCAGAAGAGCAGTGAACTTTTTTACGTTCCATATGCGGATGGTAGACCCCGTCCCAAATGCCCCATCAAAAATACATGAAGCAAAATCAGCGAATCCACCAGGGATCATTCCCAAAAGTGCAGTTTGTTCCTTTAACCTTAGACGCCGCCGCCGACCCAATTGAATAAGTAAGTCGATTGCTTATGTCTCCAAAATCTCGTGTGTCTCGTCCATCGATGCATCCATCCCACCAAATAAACCATGGGAAAATAAAACCAGTCTTAGATTACAGTAGAGCCGAGCCTGCAGACTCAAAGGCCTGAAGTGGTGCAGCGCCAGCTGAAAGAGAGAGAAGGGGGAACGCTCGGAAGTATTAGAGGGTAGTTTAGGGTAGATTCGTCTCGTATCACATATCCCAAAGCCATCGCTGAATACAGTACAGTGAAAAGAATATTAAGTGGCGTGTAGGTTATACGCTAGCGTCGATCGGTGTACAGACTGTGGGCCTGTTGAGTCTCGATGATGTGGTTGCGTGGCGCAGGCCCTTGCTGGTAATGAATAGCCTGGGGGTGGTATGCGGACGAGAGTTGACTGTACATGGCCGATGATGGGATACCGGCTATGCTTTGATGCCTACCGTGCATGATCGGACCGTGAGAGAATTGCTGTTGAGCTTGCATCTCATGGAATCGAGAGTCCTCACGGATATCTGAGCGATGAGCAGCAAAACCCTGGAATTGGCTGTGGCCGTAGTGGGAGGGGTCCATGTAGCCGGTAGACATCAATGATGATTCGGAGTATCCATGATTGTTTTGGGTGAAGGCGCTCATGTCGGATTGAGATCTTTGATGGAGCGGGCGTCTACTAGTACTCGAAGAAGTACCCATCTCCAGATGAGCAGCCATAGATTGGCCACCAGCTCGTTGAGGTGTAGGAGCTGGCAAGGGAGCTCCAGAGAGGGGATAACTGCTACCATAGTTGTATCTCTCCTCCTCGCTATTTTCGTTGATGTCCGGGAACATAGGGCGGTGTGGGAGTTGTGTAACACGTCCAGCCTGCAGTGGCCGCTCGAGTGGACGGCTTCGGGCATACGGAGAAAATGCGGAGTCTGGAGAGTCTGTCTCACCCATCCCATTTGGTCGGCGCTTCTTTGGGGCTTGAGGGGAATACCCGCCTTGACTCCATATGGCGGGTTGACTCATGCGTCTATCTTGCGTGTAGGGGTTTGGCTTCATAGCAGCGGTAGGACCACCCAAGGATTGAGAGCGATAGTGACCTTTAGCAGCCGATGCTCTCTTGGTATATCCCTTGGGAGACTTAGGTTCATCACCATCGACGGCGATATTTGGAAGGATCTCAATATCCGGGAAACACGGCATGGTGTCAGCCAAGATCTCAGTATGGAGTCGATTGAAAATTTCCAAGATCTTATGGGTAGAGTACCCTTTGCCACATTCCTGCAAGAGCCAGTCTGGGACAGCTGTCGCAGGTAGAATATGACTCGAAGTGCGACTGCTGCCATCATCTTCATCGCTGTTCAGGCCGTCTTCAAAAGCTGCGTGGGCATTTCGCTTCTTGGCACCATTGAGCTCGTCTAAGCGCTTTTGTTCACGTTTCCGCACTGCCAGTCCCCAGTCCTTAACAACACCCGGGAGGCCTCTGTTTGCGTTTTCCACACTCCATTCGTGTACACGGCGGATCTGTTGTTGAACGAGATCACATTGCAGCTTCGCGTACTCCTTGGGATTACGATAGCGACTGCGTTGGTAATGCTTCCGGCAATAATGAACCCAAACTTCTGCGGGAATCAACCGGGTGCACATCTTGTTACGTCCGAAAATATGGGAGATGGCCTTCCGTAGTTGCGAGCCGGTATCGCAATTGGGGATGTACATGCACAGGATGGTCTGAGTAGGGATTATCTCGCCATGGGTGTTAGATGGTGGAGTATCGGGAGTTCTGTAAATTGGAATGGTTGTGGGAGACGTGCGATCAGGGTGTTGGGATGAAGGCGGTGTTGGCTCAGCCCGCGGGCCCATCGATTGGGGTTCAGACATTGTGAACCCGGTCGTGAAGCCGTTGACGGATGCTGGGAAGGCCGGTGCGGATAGAGCTCTCTTGTGTGATTTAGCCTGTATTAAAGCTTGATGGTGCGTTCCCAAAGGCGCGTTCAAAAACTGTCTGTTGCTATTGAATCGGTCAGCCTGAGGTTACCGTACAGAATGGCGAAAAGAGTATGTGCAGATCGAGGCGGTAAGGTAAAGTAAAGTGAAATCAAAACCATCAAAATAGCCCGAGCCGTCGAACTTCAACGTGAGTTTTGGCTTCTGAAATACATACAAGAAGATCAAACGGATTTTCCTAGGTTCGCAGGAATCCTAGACTCAGCAGATTGAAGACTCGGGTTTGAAGTTGAGACGCAAGAGTATCTTCCTTGTGTTGGTTTGGTTGGAATTGATGTATCTTCAAGAATGAGATCATATATTCATGGCAGAAAAAGCTTTAAAGCCACGGAGAAGATGAAAGTTCGCTAGAGACTATTCAAAGCCTTCTTGTGAATGTTCAGGGTAGTCTGAATGACGGGGATGACTCAAGATCAAACCAAGGAAAGAGAGCAGGGGAAATGAAGAGCTTGTTCAATAGCCAGGCCTGTGGATGTTCAGGGTACTGTAGCTTGAGAGAGGGAGGTCTGGCAATAGACGCAATCAGACTTGAAGTAAAAAGAAGATTGTGCTACTTGCGAGTAGAACCAGCCTGACAGTGAGAGGCAACTTTGAAGGCAGGTTGGGATGGAATGGTGAATATAGGACGTGAGACAAAACATGACACAAAACACCAAATCGGAAGAGAAACATACGTTCAATTGCGTCGCATGCGAATCTCCCGTTGAATAAAGAAGTGAAAATTGGGCTCGATTGCGATCCCCAGAGCTGAGACATGAGCGAGTTGTGAGGAAACAAACTTCTTCAACATCGCTAATTTGCCAAAATGACTTCTTCTCTCAAATCCCCAGCTGGCCCCAGGGATTTCAAGACATCCGAAGCCTGATGGTCTAAGTGCAAAGAATTATATCCACCAACTTTCCTACGAAAATCATAAACGTTCTTCACGAAGAGACACTAAGAAATAGTAACACAACAGAGGCCAGATCCGAGATGACCAAAAGCAAATACGCGTCGCAAGGGGGTTCAACAATACAAGACAAAGTCACTTACGGTTGTTGTTCTTGATCCATCAAATTCAATCCGGTCAGCCCCAGCCCATAAAAGTCTTGGTCGCCCGTACTGAGTCGTAAATTTGGTACCGCCGACCGCTTGATTAAGATTGCATCACTGGGTGAGCACGGGCGGTCTCCTCCCTTGCGCATGATGGTTTGATTCGCGTCGGTTGATGAGGCCTTCGAAGCTTCGGCAATTTGTTGTGCTTGTTGACCCGCCATCTCGTTTTCTGCTACGAGAGCCAATGCGTCGAGGGACCCTGTAGGTGAGATACTGCCACCCTGTGAGTAGCCCATGGTCGGCTGGGTTACGTCCGGTGTCGAGAGAATTCCAAAGTCGAAAACATGGGGTTTTGGGCCTGAAGCAGCTGCCAGAGCTTCGGTAAAAGTACCTGAAGGAAAAGCACTGCCGACTGTTGAGAGCGATGAGAACCTCGAATGAGAAGCTGACTGGAAAGACGATGTAAGTGATGAGAAACTGGAGCGGCTTTCGGAGAGATTGTGATGCGGGGAAGTTGGAGTACTGTGTGAATTTCGTCGGTGCAGTTCATCATGTTCGGTTGGTGTACTCGATGAGTTCGATATGGTTTGGATGGGAAGCGAATACCCTCCAGCGTCCCAAGGTGTCCGGTTCTGAGTAGGAGCCTCTGTGGCGGCCTCGACTCTTGTTCCTTCTCCATCATTCTCTTTCCTTTGCTGCTCAACAGCAAGGGAATTTGCGTTCAGCAATGATGTGACGTCCATCTTGCCAGCCCAGAAAGTTATCCGTCACACTGATCCTCCAATTAATTTTCCCCGTCACGTCTATCTGTTCATGGGTGGTAGACCTTTCTCCCCAAAGTGTTGTAAGCTGAAGCTTAAATAAGTTCGGATTTCGCAGGTGGTGTATGACGGCAGTCTGGATGGATATATTGACCTCTCGTGTATTCTTGATGAGTCGTCCGGTCCAGAAGAGGAGTGGCGGGGATATGTAGTCCTAGTCAATGGTGATCGGAGTGAGATGTTTCAAATGTCTGGCTGGATAGCCGATCCGATTGTATGGTGTAGGATCCAGTTCTCGGTTCAGATAAACTTAGGCGTGTGGCTTTGACAGTAGGCGTTGAATCGGATTTTCGAGCGTCTTGGAAGCAGTGATAGCAGTTACAGTAGAGGTTTGTGGTGAGATTGACGTCCGGCAATGCTTTGACCCCATCGAAACGGCCGAAACAGCGTGGTGAAGCTCGAGTGTATCGAGCCTTTCATCTAAACATCTAGCACATCAAGTGATAGAAAGGATGTCACAAGACAGAAACAACAAGAAGGTGGATTTCTTGCGGGCGAAACGTTGTGGCTCTCGAAGCATTGGCTTCGAAAGAACGGCCCCGTTAGGTTATGTCAGGCAGAGGCAGAGCTAATATTGGAGGAAAGGACTTTCACCAGGATTCGAATAGGTTGTAAGTACAACACTGGGTTGCGAGCCACTCTTCGAGAGTACTCTGTAGACTTGCGATGATCGAGGAATTGCTTCTTTCAACAATGATAGTGGACGAATGAAGAGATGGTGAAGCCACCAGAGAACGCAGAGACAAGAAACCAGAAGATAGGACGAAGAAGACAAGGGTCTGGTTCTAGACTGAATATGTAAGGCTGGATTTGATGTGCATGAGAAACCTGTCCTCGTTATTGACGGCTAGTTGAAGAGAGACAGCAGAAGAACAGAAAGCGGCGGCCGGCGACCGACATCAGCTTGAGGGACCAGCACAGACGGACCGATGAAGAGAAGAGAAGAAGCTGGAGTTCGTTTTCATCTTCCCGCAAGAGCTTGAGGCTGCTTCCGTGGTGCATTGGAAAAACGAGCAACGAGACTCGGCCAGTGTTTGATGTTGAGATCCCCCACGGGTTGCGAGCATGATGACCCATGCTGACTGGATGCGTCTCCGAAGCCTTGTCGGTAGTAGTCAAGGGTCCTGGATCAAGCCATCGGAGAATCATCCAGGGCGCTGGTGTTCGACCGGAAACCCTGTAAAGTGGGCTTGAGGCCGTGAGGCCGGCTATCCTTACGAAGATCGTCGAATTCTCGTCTGAAGTGGAAAATCGCATCTGCCCCAGGAACAGAGCAGAGCGGAACAGAGCGGAACGGAGCAGAACAGAGCAGAATAGAGTTTACTCTGAAATGCCAATGCTACATACAGCACGCTGGAACGATCTGACACCCGCTCCTCTTTTTGCTCTTGCGGCGGGAAAGCGAGAGCCCGTGACATTCGGGGCGAGCCTCTGACGTTCCCAGGGATTGAGATTTCCTCCCGAGGCTTGAACCGCTTGTTCTGGAGCAGAATTGTTTGATCCCAGCGAAGCGTCCAACCATACAACGTCTGACCGTCGGACACGGACTGTTGCAGGGAGAGCTCGGTAGTTGGGAGAGCTAGCAACCACGCCGGCGAAGGATCATGCGAGTTGACTTTCTGCTGTTGTTGTAGGCAGGTAAGTACAAATGCATATACATGCTGCAGCCACGCGAAATCAAGTCGTCCGTCTCGCTGGATGTTGAGGAGCCTCGTATGCATTGCATTGAGGCCACGGGCACATGAGGCTGCTATTCTTGACAGTATGATGCTGCTGCAGTGGAACTGCCACTTCAAGCGTTCATCTGCTGCCGTGCCTGGTACTTACTTACTCCCTATGTGAGCAGGAGTCAAGGAGGAGCGGGCAGAGTAGTGTCCTCCTGTTGAACGAATAATTGAAGCTTGCTGAATGCCTTTTCTCAGCAGCAGCAGCAGAATCAGCATCAGCACAGCCTTCATCCACGCGGCCCCTTTCAGCTGGCCAGTACACCACACGCGTTCACCTCCGCCTCGGGATCAGCACCGGAGCATTCTCATCGCTAGTGTTCTGTGCTGTGCTGTGCTGGACTGCATCTGCATTCTGCATTTGCATTTGCATTTGCATTTGCATTTGCATTTTGCATCCATCTAAGCATTGGCGTGTGGTTGAACCGATCAGACGGCGCCGCTTGGTCTAGGACGAAGAAGCGTACATCGTGATAGTAAAAAGGCAGCAGAAGGAAGCAGCTGTCCGAAGGTTGCGTAATTGGGTGGAAAGTCCTAAGCAGGTCACGGGATCACGGGGATCACGGGGTCCAGGGAAGGGTCGTGTTTTTCGTTTCAAGATCTGCAGGCTGATGATGCACCCCGATGCAGCCTTGATGCACCGCCCTGTACAGTAGTTCGTGATAGCAATTGGAACGTTCGACGCCCCAAGGCCCCAAGCCCCCAAGGCCCCGAGCCCACGACGTTTCAGCCGAACTCTGGCCAGTGGCATCAGTTGATGCGAGCACGAAGATCCTCGCGTGCTCATATCCGTAAGCCGACAGACGTACGGAGTACGTGGGCCTGCTGCACCGGCATTACGGAGACAGAATCGGAGAGGAGAGGAGAGGACGAAATGTTGCGAAGAAAAAGATGAGAAGATGAAAAGATCAAGATGGCCTTCCTCCCCAATGCCTGCCTCTCTGACGTAAGCGAGGCCATGATAACCGAAACTTCAAAAGGCCACATTGTATCTGCTTAGTAAGCCATGAACAACAAATGGCCTGGGCCAGTCCGAGACATCTTCTCATCCCAAGTTTTGTTTGACCAAGTACAGTAAATCCCCGGGCCACGAGGTGGTGGGTTTGCTGCAGTACAGTACAGCCAGCATAGGACAACGATGTGCCAACATCGTGGAAACTTTCCTTATTCCATACCGAACAAGTAACCAAAGAGTCAAAGCCAAGGTGTCTTCCAACAAACAGACGACAGTCTAAGCGAGGGGGGGGCAATCCCCCCTATCTATGAAACCAACGGATCGACTCCGTCTATCTTATTTCTTCTGATCCAGGCCCAAAGCCAAGCCTCGTCCTCCTTTTCGCTTCGCCTCCCATTCCCAATCCCGTATAAAGAAGGAGAAAATAGAAAAATGAAGAAAAGAGAAGAGAGTCTATTAGATAAACCAGTACCGAAAATCCCCTGTTCGCCGGGGCGGTTCAGACGAACATGCAACAGTATTTATTAGATTTTTCAATCGTTCAGGAGTTTCCCGCTCCGCTTTACGATTTACGAGCCAAACTGGGTCTGCCTTTATTTCTACGGAGTAAGGGGGGGAATGGTAGGTTCTCTCCTAGATGATACACGACTTTCACATCAGACCAATCCAGTCTGCTCGTTCCAACAGCAGCAGTAGCCAATCTGTGGTCTGGATGGCTGCACTAAAGCCCCGTCCCATACCATGCCGCTCAAGGTCCCTGTCTATCAGAGCGCACGCATGCACATACGCACTGTATACACGCCATAAAGCCCAAGCGAGGCCTAACACAGATAAAACCATGCAGTTCAATAAAACGAAGCCTCAAAGCAGTGAAAGCACCCATGACTCCTCTATCAGAGCAAAACGGAAGCGGGAAGCGAAACCAAATATTAACTCAACTGAATCAGAAATAAAACACGAACAAGAACAGAAGCGAAACCCAAAAAGAGGCATACTTTCTTCTTGCGAAACGAATAAAGCCCCCCGGCCACCCACAAGACAAGAGGCAAGCAAGGACTAAGACTGATACTTCATTACCAACCTCACCTACCGCCCACAAGAAGGGGTATGACCCCGGTCCGGCCTCGATACTAGTCGTCTTGCGACTCAAACACAGGCACGCTTCTAAGCTGGCCAGGGCAGTCTGTACTTGCCTCACTTTCTTTTTGTGGTTCCTTTTCCTTCGACGAGAGGTCTCCCTCTCACTGTGATCCATCCTATCCGTAGGGGAAGCGTGCAGACGACAGTAGCTTTTGCTGCACCACCTTGAATGGCTTTCTAGGGCTGTCTTGTATGTAACTCCTTAGCTTAGCACATCGCCGTACCTCATGGGAAGTCCCAGGGCGGCAGGCTTCGCCTGCTACCCGCTGAAGTTAGTAAATACAACAACAACAACAACACAAGAAAGGGCGAAGAAAAAACCAACCTTCAAACCACATAGATGAAACACATCGACTTCAAGGGACCTATGGTCAAATTTGTTGAATTCTAGAGGATACAAACCACAGCATAGAAATGTCCCAACGCCGCCATGTCTTAGCCTAAAGAACCCCCTTCCCAATTCTCAAAGACTCCTGCCTCGCCAATGCTGTACATACTGTTCCAAACGTCAATTGCACAAGCCTTTCCCTTGCCAACCAAACCATCGCACTGAGCGGGTCTGTTGAAAAGGACCAGAACCATATCAACCAACTTAAATTACAAGTCGTGGACCTCGCCAATATGACCAAGCAGTGAAGTCCAGTGAAGCAGGACCTCTACGAGAAAGAAGCCGTTATTGACACAGGAACGAGCTCGCGATCCAAGTATGGTATGGTGGTGTACGTGCATCCTAAAGACCACCTCCACTCAATCCAAGATCTTCTAGAGTAGGACCTAGACGATATCGATATCAATGCCCAAGTCCATAGCTCCAATAATTTCGTCATCCATCAAAGGTCGGCGGAAAGTGGGGATTCCCTTCTTCTCGGTTTGCATCTTGACGAGAGTAGGGATAGGAGTAGTTGGCTTATCGGCGGCGAGCTTAGGAGTGCTAGCAGCAGAAATTTTGTTGGTACCGCTTTGTCCCTCAACGTATGCATCAGCAACATCGTGCTTGAACTTGGCACGGGTCTTGAGACGACGGGAGTGGTCCTCAGCAACTTCCTCGCCACGAGCAACAGCAGCCTGGATCTTTCTCGCAGCGCGGCGCTCATTGATCTGTGCCTGGCGAACTTCCTCGGCGTTCTTTGCGCGATTTTGACGGTTGAGCAAGGCTAAACGATCTTGTTGACTCATTCCTGGAGCGACAGAAGACTTCTTTGGGGATGGTCTCAAGGATGTGCCGTAGGCCAACTTAGGTACCTCGAGAGCATCGAGCTCCTGTTGGTATTGTTCCACCTTGGCATCGTTTCCGTTGGCTTTCGCCTCTTTGATCAAGCCGTTAAGACGATTTCGCTCAATTGGCAGGAATTTTTGTATAAGAGCACCAGACTTGGTCAACTTTTCTTGTAGCTCAGCCTCAGTCCACGATCGATGGATCAAAGCATTGATGTCCTGAACCTTCTGAATAAGCTTGGGCTTGGTTGGGAGAGGGACACCTTCCACAAGACAAGTTTGCTTGTAGCGGTTCCACTCGGCCTAGACCATAGTCAGTATTACGTTTCCTAGCACCCATAGACATATTACAGACCTCAGTGAAAGGTTGGTCAGAGCAACTTATGAAAGGCCAGTTGCGCTCCGCCTTTCCATGAGCAGCGCGAACATATTGGGTAGTCTTGAAAAGCTTGCCATTGGAGTTTTCAATTGCGTATGGACGGTCCTCAACAAACCCTTGAAAGGAGATCAGCAATTAATCACAACGCTCGAAAGAAACAATATACCTTTGACGAGACCCATTCGGTAGATATTGTTTCCGGTTTTATCATCCTGACCAACACTGATGCGGACATAGGTTCCAGTGATAGCCTCATCAAAACCAGGGTAAAAGCACACTTGGGCAAAGCTCGATCGACCAACCCGCACTCTTTGGATATCGACAAGTTCAGCAGGCTGGGCATCGCGAACATCTGGCGACTTAGAGTTCTTGTTCCGTGGCTTATCATCCCACTCAACCTCGCTGTCTCCATCGGCATCCCCATCGGAGTAATCACTTCTAGTGCCGCGACCTCTGTTGCGCTCCTTGTCCTCATCACGGCGACGTTGGCGGTCGTTTTTCTCTGCTCGCGCCTTCTTCAGACTGTCAATGCCAGTGCTTGCTTCTCCAACCTTTCCGCCACCAAGTTTTGTTCGTTGACGAGCAGTCTTGCGTTGATCATCTGCTAAATCGGCAGCTCCAGCCTTGCGCTTCTTATCTTGCTTCTTAGTTTCGGTCTCGCGGGACTTGAGGAGCTGGCGAAGAGCTCTGTTTTGACGGTCACGCTCTACTTCTTGGGCGCGTTCAGCTAGCTTTTGCTCACGCTGCATCTCATTCATAGCCATAATTGCAGCCTTGTCTTGGGCGTCCATGAACTTGCCCTCCAAGGGGTATCGATCGACATCATCGTGAAAGGTAGGACCAGCGTCAGACTCAGAGTCGGATTCATCCATGGGCGCAGATCGAAGGGAGTTGGGAGAGGATTGACCCGATGAGCTGTTGGGTGTGAGCATCGACAGCGCGACCACGTGAAATAAAAGAGCACAGTGGTGGGGTACTGAGTACTCACGCTTCACCCTCCTCCTCGGAATCAGTGTTTCTCCTGCTCATCTTCTTGCCTTTCTTCGTGGACGATTTGCCTGACATCCGTCGTGCTGGGGATCCCGATCTGGACTTCGTTGCTGAGGGGACGTTGTCTTCTTCGGCGGAAGAGGCATCGCCTGCAAGAGCGAGGAGCTCTTGATCGAATTGGTCTGACACCTCGGAGGACGGCATGATTAAGCGACAAGGCAGATGATGGTGAGAAGTTAGGATTTGCGGCAGTTCAGAGTTGGCTGGCTAGCTGGTTATCTGTGAATAGTATTGTACATTCGAGAATGTTTCTCCGGAAAGTAATTGGGAAGGATCGAGGGCGATATATTATTGGATTGGCGTTGGAAATGTGCGAAGACCTTTGTACAAGAGGAAGGTCCGTTGGTTTTGTGGTGGAATAATGCAAACACGAGGCCGAAGGTGATCGAGAGGAGAATGTGAGGAGGGTAAGAGGAGGGTGAGTGAGGATGTGGTGAACTGTGCCACCGCCTTTTTCTGCCGCCAGGCACAACCGGCGCCACGTTTGTCCGGCGGCCGCCTCTTCCTCCGGAATCGCTTCTATGACGATGCTAAGAAGTACTTGGTGACATCGACTTGCATTGAACTGAATACGTCCTGGGCAAATCCAGACAGCTTAAAGTCCTTCTCTATTGTATCTAACCTACTTACATACAATTCCATGATGGCCCTTCCGCTCTCCTCCAAACGCTCTGCCATCGCCGCCGCATACCTGCCCGTCTGCGATTTCCTCATCCCCCGCCTGCACCAGCCAATTCGAGCAGCCGGCCAAATCCGGTGCCTCTCTGCAAGCCAGAGACATCCTACAGCAAGAAGCACACATAACAACGATGGCGTCACCCCCTTAGAAAAAGATGCGACCATCAGGTCCGGGCCCGAAGCTGCCTCGAATCCAGCTCCCCGCTCCGAGCCCTTAACCCAAGCCCAGCGCGATTTCCTCTCCAGCGCAGTTTGTACCTCTCTATCAACACCAGGATCATATAACTACCCACCCACCCACCTAGTGTCTTCCCTCCCCGATACGATTAAAGAAGAAAAGAGAGATTCTAACTTCCGTTCCTGCAGCTCCGCGTCAACCAAGCCGGCGAACTGGCAGCGACTCTGATATACAAAGCCCAAACCCCCATCGTCGTCTCCTCGAATCCCACACTCCGCCCCCTGATGCAACACATGTTTGACCAGGAAGCTGGCCACTTCAGCACCTTCAACGCCCTCATCCGCAAACACCGTATTCGTCCTACGGCCATGTATCCGCTCTGGAAGCTCGCCGCCTCGGCCCTAGGCTGGGGTACAGCAATTATGGGCCGCGAAGCCGCCATGGCGTGCACTGAAGCAGTCGAAACGGAAATAGGGAGCCACTATAACGAGCAGGTGGGCGTGCTTCTCCAAATGGCCGAAACTATGCGCGAGAACGGGGAGGAGATAGGGCCAGATTTAGAAGAGTTGATCGAAAATGTGAGGAAGATTAGAGATGAAGAGTTGGAACACCTAGATCATGCGGTCGAGAATGATGCGAAGAAAGCGGTGCCGCATGAGCTGTTGACGGGGTTCATACGGGCAGGGTGTAGAGCGGCGATTAAGGTTAGTGAGAAGATATGAAGTGATGCGAAGTCATGGCAGGATAAAATTCAAGAAGCAACGCTTCGCTCATAGAATACAAAAATACCCCGTCCCTTTTCCTATGGTGATGTCAATGCTATGCAAGTCGCTCCTACACTTCTGTTGGAACTCGTTAAACAAAAATACAAGTCTTCTATCCGGTCGTCAAAATGTTCCTAGTTGCTGCAAAGGTTGTTAGCCGAGACCCCCTACCCCTTTGAGATTTAACAACGACTTACTAGATCTGCAGAGGCGCCACCTGATCTACCTGGTACAGCCAGTTGGAGTTGAGTTCTTCCTTGACGAGCCAGTCGTGCGGGAACACAACGAGATGGCCCTGGATGAGACTGAGAAGCTCCTCAACGTCCACCTTGTCTAGTAGATCATCACTACCAGAAAAGCCTCGCCGGCTTTTCGTAGTGCCGCGGCGGCGCTTCTTGAAAGAGCCTCCGTTTCCTACGTTACTTCCGTTCGTCTGGCTCTTGTCCTTCTCCGTCGATGTCGATGAGGAAAATGTCGTCTTCCGATGTGGCTGCGTTATCTGCTCGTGCTCTGTTCCGGGGGGGATTAGGAGGTTGGAATCGAGTGACGGGAATGTTTCAGCCCCAGCGGGTTGAGCCGGCGACGGTGCCTCAACTTGTGCTTTGCCCGTTGCAGCCCTCTCATTTGTGCCATCGAATTGGCCATTGACGTCGGCTCCCCTAGCCACCGACGTGTCAATTCGATCTGCATGCCGAATTTCGGCATCTTGTGCCATCTCAGCAACAGTTCCTAGCGGGTGGTTGTCTTGCCCGTGGTGGACCTTCTCGGCGAGATGATTCAGGCCTTGAGAGACCACACCTGGACCCACCAAGGTTGCCCCTGGGGGACCACTCTTGCCAGGGGCCTCCTGCTCTGCCCGTTCAGTACTCTTGCCACCACCTTGAGCTTGGGCGAAACGTTCGGCATAGGCCACATAATCAGTGTACTCATGCCAGTTGGTTACCTCATTATCTGGATTGCACCTAAAGATTCGTCGGAAGATCTTGGTATTGTTCTCTGCAATCTGGCGCCAGGTATTTTCGAAGAACGAGTCATTCAGGGGATCTCGCATACAGTCCTTGTCCACCTGCGCACGTTTGATGTCGTCGGTGACTGGGTTGAAGGGCTTCGGTACTGAATTTCCCGAGGAATCAATATACACTGGTGGTCCACCGATGTCTGTGTCATCAACTGTAGGAAGAGCAGGAAGTTGAGATAACTGAGGAAGTCCAAGCTGTTCTGTTGTTCTTCTCGGCAGGCGAGGCGCTGGTGGAAGGTTGTTATTACCACCAGGCTCTTCGTGACTCCCGCGGTGCTCCCGTTGATGGCGACGGGTATGCTGTTTTGCTGGGTGGTCCAGTGTCCCTTTGCCTTCTGAAGCGATGTCGCTAAGAAGCACCTCACGGCCTCCCTCAACCAAGACAGTATCTCTACCAAGGTCCTGCCCTGTCTGGCGGGCCACTGCCCACTGGTCGTTACCTTCGCCATCCACCTCTGCGGCGTGGCGCTGGTTACCAGTGACTCTTTTATCAGACGTTACAGGTTTATAACTTTCAGCTTGCAAGTTGGGGTTGTCGCCCTGCTCCCAGTCCACATCATGATTGAAGCTGTGTAACCCCTCGACATTGGCAGCATCAATAGTATGTGCGACACTCGGATGTGGCGGTTCATCGCTATCGTCCGACTCCTGGTATATTCCATTCATTTGGTTCTCGTAGTCGGCCGCTTCCTTGTCCAGCTCTGCTTTGCGGTCTTCCTCAAGGACGGCATCTACATCAAGACCCAGGTGTTCCCTCATTAGCCGCATTCGCAGGGTATGGGCAAATCGTCCCACAAGGTATGGTTCACCATCCATAGTCGACCACAGCATATCGGTATCTCGAACCACGGCTGCACATTCGGAGTCTCGATTTCCAAGCATAGATCTCTCATTAATATTTGCCGACCCAATCAGCGCAATACGATCATCGACAATGATGACTTTGGCGTGGATGTACAATTGCTCCGTCACAAGCATCTTTTGAGGTCCGATCCGACCCCATGATCTCAGACTGTAGAATTGGACGTACTCCTCGGGATCGATACCTTGGGCTCTCAAGCGTCCAAAGATTGACGTTTCGCCACGAGAAATACTTCGGAATTGGCATTGCATAATCAATCTCACACTCGTGCCTTCAGCTTCGTCGACTGTGTTCTGAAAACCTGGCATTAGTGGAATGAGAATGACAGCGCGCCAGCTCTCGTTATTGTTGAAAGCACGGATTGCACGTTCCACAATAGCATCCCCGATCTTGTTGATGATCTTGACGTTCATGGTTTCCGTGCTGGTGATGAAGAATTGATTCTCCATGTACACAAAATGTTCTGATTCCTCAATCATCTTGCAATAAGCATTCATGATACTATGCTCGACTTCTGTGATTCCTAAGGACCAGTCGGAAGCAGATCGCAAGATCTGGACCTCGCAGGTACCAGTGAGACCAGAAGCTTCGAGCTGGGCAGTGGTATAGTCTGGGGGAGGCAGGAGAAATGGAGTAGGTCTTGTCGGCTTCCGTCCTCGCAGAACGTAATTCCATCGCTGGACAAAATGGCGAGTCAAATCTCGCGCTGGTTGACCAACAACCTGCATGGAAATATCATGCCACGGCATTCTGGGTGTCTTGGACCGGTCGTACATCTCCGCGTAGGGCTCATGAAGCCCGAAGAAATCCTGCACTCGAGGATTGGAGTAGTCTTTTCCAGGCCACAATTGACAGTGATCTGCATCCTTTGGGAGGTCTGACTGCTCAAATCCGGTGGGCTTGTCGTCCACGACAGAATGTTGAGGTGTATCCCAGCGACCAAAGCAGAGATCAATCCCACCAACAAATGCAACCGAATGATCGACGATACAAATTTTCTCGTGATGTGCGAAAAAGAATTGATTCTTCTTGAACTGATTGGGCGATCTCTGCACAAAGATATTCTCGTGAAGATCCAACATGGAAAATTTGGTGAACTCAGAATCGATCGGGATGGCAGCTTCTACGTTCCGGTAGACAATGATGAAGACTTTCACGCCTTCTCTGGCCTTTCTCTGGAGAAGTCTGTCCAAGCGCCATTTCTGACTGATAGCAGCCGGTCTCCGCATGTATAGTTGAGGGCTTAGCCACCAGTCGTGGATGTAGATAACATCCTTTGCTTGATTGATTGCTCGGGAAACGTTCCACATGTAGTCACGGCCGTCGACAAGCCACTGAGCATAAGCACCCGTTCGAATAGGAGCAAAACTTCCGAAGCGATTGGGTTTAGCCCACAGCGTAGTGTTCAACATGTAAGTAATCGAATCTTCAAATTGTCTCAATTGGCGCTCGTTCTTGGCCAGCAGTTTGATCTTTCGTTCAGAGTTGATCAGTTTGAGGCTGTGGTGTTGGGGATGTTTTGCCTTTGCCTCTGTCTTAGCTACTATCTCTTTCCCGCAAATCTCGGATAGCTTGCTGTGTTTGTTTACGATCTCAAATTTCGGATCTACAAGATAGACATCGTAGACGTGCATATTTTCGGGGGAATTAACGCAGATAATGTAGCTGTGTCTGACCAAGAACCACTTGGGAGAGTGTCGAGAGAAAATCTTCTGTGGCGTTACGAGCTTGCGGAAATTCAAACCATTTGCAGGTTGAATGACCAAGTAGCCTTCCTTTCCATGATAGCTTCCTTCCGCGGCCAGTCGAACTCCCAAAGCAGATAACTCAAGAAACCGGCAGAGTCGATTGCTATCTGCTCTGAAAATGAGCCATCGAATCATTTCTTGTAGATATTGTTCCAGTCGTCTCCGCTGTCTTTCGTTGTACAGTTTGGTTTGCTGAGACGTAGCCAAGCCTCCCTCAGCATGACTTGCACCAAAGTCTGGCCCGGCGACGCTCGATTTCCGAGGATTCATAGCAGGCTTTCGCTTCTTCTTCTTCTTCCGCTCTGTCTCGCTATGGGTTGCCTCCCCGACGGTCTCGTCTGCGCGAACATTCTCAGCCTCCTCCTCGCTGCTCTCACCCAGGCCTCGTACACCTCTGAAATAAGGAAAAGCGGATTTTGGGAATCTCGGTTGCTTAGGTCTCGAATCGATGTCACTTCGCAATTGTATGTACTTGTCGCTACTTCCTTGGAGTTTGTAACGCAAATGCAAATTGGCAAAATCTCTCAATGATCTGTGAATGATCCATCTCATGCGATTCAGGCCGCTGCCGTATTCGAGCTCGATTCGAAACACTAGGTGGCGTTCACTTTCAGTAGGGTCTTCAATATTCGATCTACTATCGGTGATATGTAGTTTGAGCTGTTCAAGGAGAACAGGTATTCGCTTGTTGCCATGCTCATCGCGTTGGATCATGCTAGCCAGCATGAGCGCAGCTGGTGCCCCGGCTCGTAGTTCCGCCATCAACTCGGCCGATTTTAAAAAGTCCACCTTGTGTTCCTCCTTCTTCTGGCCGAGTAGCTTCAAGCCGTGCTTCAACATTCGCCACCTTTGAGCACCGAATGTCGTTGCCCGCTCCGCAGCCAAGAATGGTCTCTTTGGAGTCTGTCCTTCTCCTTCGCTTTGCCCACCTCCAAAGCCTGTCACCTTCAGAAAATGGCTTGGCCTTCGTGCGTGTCCTGGAGTTCCATCAAGTCCGATATCTGCTTGCTGCCCTCCAGAGCTCAACCCACGGCTGCCTCCAATCCAGGAACTTCCACGCTTCCAAGCACTTTGACCATTTAGTCTGTCTCGACCCTCGCCCTCGGATAAATGTCCTCTTTGTTCCAATGATCCATCCGTAGCCCTGCGATGGAGGAACGGGAACCCACGACTGCTCCCGACTGGAGAATCTGTCTGGCCCATATTCCGCGCCCTGGGAGTATTCGGTGCTGTTTGACCCCTACTTGATTCCTCTTTAGGTCTTCGGAATCTGCGTTTCTTCTTTGCCCGAACCGGATCTTCGGCGTTCCCTTCATCGGCCGTTTCCTCTGCATCAGCGTCCGCATCGCTATCCTCCTCTTGTAAAGTCGACGGAAATCTCGAGGGTCGCTCTGCGGTCGGAGAAAGGGGAGCGGATCCAGTCCCCTCTTCGAAGGAGTTCGCAGTGTTGTTCGGGCTCCTGCCATGGGTCTGCAAGCTACTCGGAGACGCCAGAGCCTTCAATTTTGACATGAGGGACTGTCCACGCTTGTCCTTTGGCGTTTCTGCATCCTCCCATGACTCGTTTCTTGAATGTCCCGAAATATCCGCGGCAAGTTCTCGTCTCCTGAATTGTACACTCCTCCGGCCTGGAGGGGTAGACGTGCCACCCACTTGATCTTGCGGAACAGGCCCAGGTTCCTTCATTGCTGGAGAGGAGAGCGGATAAGTGAGGGAAGCATCGGCCATTCCATTTTGCACTCGCTCATGTGGGATCCCTTCATTCAAATAGTCCGCGGCCTCTTCAAACTGCTTCTCCTTCCCCTTGCCCTTCCCATTTGGCAGACTGTGTAAGAAATCGCGAGAGGCCTGCGATATCGCCCCGGAGCTCACCACACTTCGCAGACCTGATTGCCGTACGGCCGCCGATGCATTGGTAGCCGAGCTATTCCCGCGTACAGGAGATCCTGAACGCGAGCTTCTTGAAGTTGGAGATAGAGATCCATCATTGCGTCGTTGCGCCATATCTTAACTCGGCCCCGAGTGCAGACCTGAAAGTCGAGGGTATTTCGGACCTTGCACAACACAGCAGCAGATTTCGTGCCGGCCGGACTTGTTCTTTCTTCCTATTGCTCGAATGCGCTGCTCATGGCGGATCAAGACAAGGGTGGTGAGTGGTGGGTAGTGGGTGGTATATCGGTATGCGGTATGTGGTATGCGGTATGCGGTATGCGGTAGTATCGGTATGCGGTAGTACAGTACAGTAGTATACCGGTATCTGACCTCCTTTCCGTACCTGGGGGAACCGAGTAAGGACGGGCTTGGCTGTTTCCCTTCCCCAGAAGATACGTGACGCTGCGTTACGCTACGTACTTCTGCCCAAGAATTGATAGGGAAATTCATGTAAATTGGTGAAAAGAAGGGCAGGATGAAGTTCATGTTTCATTGTCCTAATGTTTCTTTCCTGAGATGAGGCCGTGCGAGGGATCCAAGTCCAAGTACCGGCGGTAATCAAAGGGATTAATTATCCCTAGGGAGCTTTGGCGTTTCACGAATTCCATCTCCCAAGTGGCATGACGTTGTCCCGGGAGGCTACGATTCTTTAGCTGTACGAGGTGCCTCTTACGTACGAACCTCCAGCTTTCTTTTGCGGCAAAAAGTCTAAAGAGCCGAAATGGAATCGTCGATATGCGACGTCTCCTCGAAGAGATCTACCTTTACCGGCGGTTCCGAACCTCCCGCCTCCCTCTTCTCGAACACCACGCCGACTACGATCTATACCTGACGGGAATACCGACTAAGTACTAAGAGGATTTGTGTTAAAAAGGGAACGGGTATAAGAGATGGGATAGGAAAGGTTTAATTCGACTAATCGAAAACACGGTATTGCGCATTCGAAAGAGCGTTTTGCAAATACACCGGCTCTATATAAAAGCCACGAATGCGAGCCTTTTTAGCTCTACAATCAAAAGAACGATTTTATACTAACACGAATCGAGGCCGCCCGTAAGGCTATACGTATGCGATAGGTAGTTGACGAAAGAAAACTCGGCGCATATTACTATGAATTGCTTTTAAAAAGTTCATAGGTATTTGCTATTTGAAAAAAAGCTTTTCCTTAACGTGGTTTTTACTTTCGATTAGATACCGGTACTTTTCCCCCATGAATACATGTCGAAAGTATAATTTTGCAAGGGATCTTACCAGGTCTTAAATCAATCAACTTACTACGTAGTAGTACTACCGGTACGTACGTAGTACCTAGTATAAAGGATTCATTCAGCCTTGAAAAGTATCTTTGAGCCTGTATTTAGTCTGTGCAATGGATTTGACAGGGCTTTAAGCCATTCAGAAATCACCGCTCTACGATTTATGGAGCTAAACTGGGACCGAAACTTATTCATGGGGGTGGGGATAGTAGTACTTCATGTATAATTCCTTTACTTAACACCTCGCCGTACCCTAAGAGAGGTCGGAGGGTCTAAGCATTGCGTTTCAAGTACCCGCCCGACGTTAATACGTAGTAACAAAAACAACAATAACAATAACGTTGTCCCGTACGGAGCTCAGATCTCGGACCTCGGGAAATATGCCCGATCCCACTTATCAACAGACGATCAACTTTTGATAGCGAGAATTCCTATTTATATATTTGTATATCGATATATTAATATTACCATCATATCATGGACATGGTATTTCGACTTTACCTTTGACCTGGTTGCCGTTCTTCATACCTTGACCTTATATCTATATCATTCATTCAGCTCATACGTCTGCCGTTCTCTACATGCCTTTGAAGATAGATAGATGTATAGCAATCTATTTATTATTATACTACAATCAATCGAAACTCACCTTACCTATGTAGGTACTTACTTTATAAATCGGCTGGACTATCTACGTAGCTTGTTTATACGTGACTTTGATTTTTTATTAATGTCAACCCCACGATCAATTTCCAATTCGTACCTACTACCTACCTACTTATAACCTACTAACCGCTGGATACCTTACTTTACCAAATATCGGAAGCCAGCCGACCAGGAGATATCCCCAACCGCCCAACATGGCAACTCCAACCCCCCTCTCAGAAACCAGCTCCGCTCTTCCCGTATCTTCAAAGGCCTTCGCTATAGCCGGCATAACCACAGTAGTCTACGGCCTCTCCGAACTCCCTCCAAACCAGACCTCGATAACATGTCTCTGGCTTCTGCACCCCCGCCTGCAAACCAAAGACATCATGGCCGCCGTGGCATCCAGCTGCATCAACGACTGGAACTCCCACCCGTCGTCTGACCAGCAGGCAAAAGTCGGCCTGATCGCCGTCGCGTTCGACCAACGCAATCACGGCTCTCGACTCTTGAATTCCTCTTCCAACGAAGCGTGGAGGGAAGGTAACGTGACACATGCGCAGGATATGTTCAGGTAAGTACTCTGAGTTTCAAATCATCGAGGTTGGTCTAGTGGTTGACCAGTAGTAGTATATTCCACGGCACGGCTATGGATACAAGTCTTCTGATAGACCATCTGGGATCTTACATTTTCAACGGTCCCAATGATCCACCTATTAATCAGAACATTGTACTGGGCATCAGTCTCGGTGGGGTACGATATTGGCAATCATATATTTCTTTCCCCTATCATCTCGTCTGATCCCGAGAGGCCGTCGAGTCCCTACCCGAAAATCCCGTCTATGGCAAATAACTGACCCCCCGTTGCCCAGCATGCGGCCTGGCAAGTCCTATTCAACGATCCACGAGTCACGGCCGGAGTTATCATCATTGGGTGTCCAGATTACATGAGTGAAGTCCCCTTTCTCGTCTCACGTCACCACAAGCCCCCGGCTCTCGCTTCCCAACAACAACAAAAACACATCCTCGCTTCCGTCCCCTTTTCATAACAAACCCCCTTTCCTCAACCCCAAACCTAGCAACGCAAACGCAAGCACCCACTAACACACATACACACACCATAGGTATGATGACTGACCGCGCCCGCCTCTCCAAACTCCCCACCTACACCACCTCCTCCCCTCCAGGCTCCGCCTTCCTCGGCTCCCCCGACTTCCCCACCGCCCTCATAACCTCCGTCTCCAAATCAGACCCCAGAGGCCTCCTCTTCGGGACGTTCCCCATCCCCACCCCCTCCCCGGCCCCCTCACCAGCTGAGCAAGCCCGCTTGGGTCCGCTCCTCGACGCGCGGATCCGGAACAAGAAGATCCTCGTCTGCTCCGGCGCCGCCGACAAGCTCGTGCCGTACCACTGCTCCCAGCCCTTCTTGGACTTCCTGAAAGCCGCGACGGAACCCGATGCCGGCTGGTACCGCGACGGGGGCGTGAGCCTCGATGACAGGGTCTACGAAGGGGTGGGTCACGCGTACAGCGAGGACATGGCGATGGACGTGGTTCGCTTTGTCAGCGAGTTCCTGGCGAGAGGTGGGGGCGAGGAGGGTAGCGATTCGAAGTTGTAAGGATGAAGAGGAAAAGAAGGTCAGAAAAAGACAAAAGGAAAGAAAAGGAAAGGAAGAAAGAAAGACTGAGAGAATGGAATAAAGGAAGAGAGGAAGGTCAAAAACCACAGAGAAAAACTATCACAACTCGTACAGAAGCGGGAAATCACAAAATTCGCAACAGTCCCCTCCCCCCTCCCTCCTAATCCGAATTCCCAATAAGATCCCAAGCGTACTCTCATCGTATTCTATTCGTACTTCATCCCATCCCATCTCATCTCATCTCATCTTAATCAATAGCATATAAGCAATATATATATATATATTTTAAGGCCAACACATAAATAAAAATAGAGAATACCTACATACCACCCTCTCCCTGCCTACCTTGATTTAACTTGACCTCTTACCTTACCCCATCTTACCTTACTTTTCTTTTACATTGCCTACGCTACGCTATCCTAAGTAATTCGTGAAAACCCCTTTCCATTTCAGATTCATTTCATCTCATCACCTTGGACTAGATTGGATCTGCTGAATAAATATCCCCAAAATCCCAATGAAAGAGCCTCAACCCCTGATGACTTGAGGTGCTGGAACTGACGAGCCAGGCTCACACCTAATACTGGGGGTGGATCGACTCGAGCCGAGTCGAGTCGATTCGCTTAGCTCCACCCGTTCACTCATAAATCCACCCCATCATCCACTTCATACAACTGATTCCGTTCTTGTACTGATACCATACCATGCCATCCACCCTACTTACTCACTCACTCGCTCACGCACCCATCCATCCTCATCTCATCCCACCATACTTCGATACTGCGACCCATCAAAATTAGCGACCCCCTGCCCTTCCCCTTTAAAACCGACGGATTCAACTTCAAATATATCGAGTTCAAGTTCAAGTTCAAGTTCAAGCTTTGCCCCTAGCTCAGACCAGCTAAATCAGCCCAGCTCAGCTTAACTAATTCAGCTCAGCCAGACCAGCTGCTAGGCCAGACTGATATAGTTAAGGAGAGAGGTCGGTCAGTCAGTCGGTAAATCAGAGACGTCCTGTCCTCCTCCTCTTCCTCCTCTTCCTCCTCCTCCTCCTCCCCCTCCGTAAATCAGCGTCACTTAATCACTTAACCAGTAAACAAACAAACAAACAAACAAATCCATCCATCCATCCTACACATCTCATATCAATCACCAAGCTCCATCCATGCCCCCATCCATGCCCCCATCTATGCCCCCATCCATACCCCCCATCCAAGGCCAGGCAAGACAAAACAAGACAAGTCAAAGCAAAGCAAAGCAACCAACATCTCGCAACACCACACTCAACCCACCAACCTTCCCCTATCGACTCTCTCGCTCCGATCACGACCAACCACTTGCATCACTCGGCTTGCAAAGAGGGAAGGGAAGAGAAGGGAGGTCGTTGTGTGTTGTACACTTGCCCCGACTGACTGACTGACCGACTGACTGAACGGGACAGCACAGGACAGCACAGGACAGGACAGACAGGACGACATACTTACAGAGCCGACCGAGGGAGGGAGAGACAAAAACCAAAAAGAAACATCTCCCTCAGGAAGATCCAGAGCCGGACCCAAGTCCACGTCCAGCTCCTAATCGCATTCCCTCCCATCCTCAGCATGTCGTGGAAAAAATCGAGGTGAGAGAAGAACACGAAATGTAGAGGGAAAGATGAAAAATCAAGGTCAAGAGAGTTTTTAGATACCTATCTAGGTACATACCTATCTAAGTATGCCCCCGTAGACACATGAATACATACATACACAAAAGCAAAACGAAATCTTGAAGATGGGCCTTGCCTTGCCCTGCTCTGACCTTGACCTTGCCAGCTACCTGGTCGCCCTCACGCGATCAAAACACAAGATACATAATGGAGCAAAGTGTCCAAGCATTAACCCCTGTCCGTCCGTTCCGCCCACCACTCCAGAACACCGGGTTTAGATACCATGTCTCTCATTCTTTAAAAAAAGGGAAACCCCCCCCCCCTCCCCGACTCGTTCGATTTTCTTAAACTCCTCTAAACATCCGCACGACCAAGAACCACATTGCACCAATAAACTTGAATGCCGAGAGCCCAGCCACCGACCACAGCACTACAGCGAGGTAGATGGCGCTTCTCTTATCCGAGCTCGTAGATGTGTCAATACGATCGAGACCAGCAGTGCTGAGCACGACAGCCACGAGCGAGAAGTTGCACATCAGCCAGAACATGACGACCTGCGAGCGGAAACCCTTGTAGTAGTCCTCTTGGACCTCGCTGGCTGACATCTCGCGCTTCTCCTCGGGGGCCTTGATTCTGAAGGCAGACAGCTCCCGGTCGTACTGGTCATTGAGGTCGCCGTCATCGGTGGGAATGTTGACATCGACCTTACCGCCGGGCTTCAAGGTTGCAGATGGCAGCTTTTCGGCTTTGTCGTCACCCTTTGTACCCCAGGTAATATCGTGCGTGTTGCAGAAGGCGTAGACGTTGAGGATGTTGATATAGGTTGGCGTCAGCAGGAGGTATTGGACGAAGCAGGTGAACATGTGCCATGGGTCGAAGAATAGGAAAGAGACGATGAACCAGAGTAGGTAAGTTGAGGCGAGGGAGACGATCAAGGTATAGAAGATTTGGTTCTTGAAGATGTCGGCTACGGTGAAGACGTTATCCGCCAGTTCTGCTTGGATGGATTTCACGGTAATGAAGACCGAGGCAAACATTAAGTAACTGTGAAAATGTCAGTCGACGAACATGGGCCCGTGTGGTGGATTTGCTTACGCCATGATGAAGACCCAGAAGATGACCATAGACATGTACGCCTTATTAGATCCTTGAGGCCGATTACCCAAAGCGAGAACAAAACAGGTGAGAAGTGTGAAGATATACAGCCATTCAAAGACGACACTGAGGATATTTCCAATATTGCCGAGAAGAGTAGCGTCGTCAAGAGATTTTGTCAAGATGTGGAAGACCAAGTAAAAATTGCCAATCTGGAACCACGCGAATAGCATGCTGATGGTCGTGTATGTGAACTCGAGCAGGAACATCATTTTCCGCATGAAGCTGTGGTCGCTTCTGAATAATTGGTAGAAGTGAACCAGGGAGTACACTGCAGCGAAAAAACTTCCGTTCAGCCATCTCCGTCTCTGGAGGATAAATTCGGCCATCGTATCTGGAACATCGGTCTCTCCTGTTGCTGATTTCACGTACTGCAGAATCCAGTGGCAGTTTCGCTTCGACACAAGCTCGAAGCACAGAATACGATCCTCGGCAAGGTACATGTTTGCGGTAAAAATACCCGCATTAGCACCGTGCATCTTCTCTCCGGCAAAGTACTTCTCCAAGGGTCCGTCACCTGCTTTGTCGTTTTGTAAAGCCACATAACGGTATGCTGAGAAGGCACCAGGAAGAACCGAGATGAATCCAAATGCAGATTCAAGCGGCTTGTCCAGAATGTTGCTCATCTTGTACTCGAAATTTTGGCATGCGACCAAAGGGTTCATCAAGTTCTTTCCGCCCGGGCCCAGCATAGCCTTGATCTCTCCACAGGCACCTCCGCACATAGGCTCCAAATCAAAGGCTTTCCAGAGCTGGTAAATAGAGTCCTTGCCAGGCTTGGTACCAGCATCGAGAAGAACGCAAATATTTGGATCCAGAACCCGACCAAATGCTTGGAAGAACCATCTATGCGAGTTAATCTTTTTCTGGTTCTTCTCTTTCAGACAGAAAAGCATCTGTACAGGCTGCTGTTTGGGGCGGAGTTCGACAACATCCTTCTTGACAGAAATGCTGACTTGCGTGGTGTACTCGTAGATATGCGCCGTCACATCCTTCTTATTGACTTTTTGCTTGGCAATCCCGTCCTGATAGACTCCCATACCAGCCAACACGGCTCTCGTTCTAGGGTTGATCTTGGCACGTCCATCGCTAACAACACAGACCACAATCTTCTTCCAGGCGTCCCTTCCCCAGGTCTTGCTGTCCTTGCGCGAGCACATGTACTCAATGTTCTTGAAAACCCCGCTCATCGTCCGCGCAAACAGTACATCGTCTTCGTTATACATGGTAACCACGATAAACAACTCCGTATGTCTGGGCTTCGCGAACAACTTTTGCCTCAGCGTAAACCGCTCTGCGAAGAACTCCTCGGGATCGCAAGTTGCCGCAGTATATCTCATGTGGGTGAACTCATCTCGCTCCGGAGGCTGCGCATGAGGAACCTGATTCAGAAGCCTCGGTGGGATAGGGCAATCTAGTACAAGGTTTCCATTGAACAGTTGCACTTCCTTCACTGTCTTATATCTCCTGAGTGTAGTTGGCTGGGGTGTTGGAGTTGGTGGGATATGTGCGCCATCGTACTCCGGTTTGAAGCCTGGACCGGAGTGAGGATCTGGGCCGTATGATGTATCATGCGCTTGCAGGATCGGGCTACGATCATCGTCCTCATAGAAAGGTTCGCTTGTAGGATGCGAGGGGTAGTTTGTGAGAGGATGCCCATCATGCGGGGAAGGCTGGTATGGGGTTTGGTAATATGCGTCGTGATGTTGTTGGGGGTTCAGGGAGTAGTCGTCTCTGTAGTTGTGGTTTGGATTGAGGGGGTATCTTTGCTCGTATTCTTCGTTATGGCCATACGAGTTGTCGATGTTGGCAACGGAGTACTATGAAGGTCAATTTAGCGCGCGCCTTGTATAGGACCCCTCTTTGAAGAGGACGCACTGTAGGTTGAGCCAGCAGCTGATCGCTAGGCGTTTGACGTCCAGGTCCCATTGGGATTTCGAGATTGTGTTGGTACGGGCCAGCAGGCGATGCACCAGGTCTGCCATAAGGCGACGCATCTTCTAGTTGATAGCCATGTTGGGCCGGATGACCAGGCGATGGCGTCCGACCTGGATTATTTGAGCGGTTGTTCATACTGAAGTAGTCTTCTTGTCGGCCTTGGCCAGAGTGATCTGTGAGGTTGAGAAGTCAGGTTAGTAGTTTGTCCTCTGCTTTTGGGTCGCCAGATTGGCAGTTGACGGCCAGGATCTGTCTATACGGACTGTGCAGGAAAGAGGCCGTGTCGAGCGTTTCCAAAGGAGAAGATGGCAAGGAGAGACTATGCAACAGTGCAAGCAAGGATGATGCGCAATGGTTATGGTGAGTATGTGAATAGAACAACAGCGTGTTACTGGATTCACACCCGTCGCCGTCGCTCGAAAGGAAACGCTTGTGAGGCGGGATTTGACTATAGTGACTTCGACTGCGCGGAATTGATTGAATAAGAAAGGGACTCACCCAAGCGGTTGTAGGACATGGTACCTCGATCGTCCCCAGTTTCGGGGTGGTCGAGTCGAGGAATGCTGCGAGGATTAGTTACGTCGACACGATGAAGCCAGCGCAAGGAAGCCAGTAGTCGCTCTCTCTAAGTCTCTAGGCGTATGCGAGCGTTGAAAGAATAGACTCTGATCCTTGATGCCGAGGAGGGAAGAGAGAGAACGGGCGTTTCAAGAGGTTGCGAATAATTTCGAGACGAGACGAGACGGTGGATTGCCAAGAGAGCGCCGGGTTTCAGGTCTCCACTGAGGTGTGATTGAGGGGTCGAACAAGCTCCCGCTAAGTCACGTGGACTAAGGAGATTACAGAAAACTCCGTCCTCTGTGAGTGTGAGTATGGTGAGTATGGTACTACCAGTACCGGTACCTGTAGATCAGGAGGGCCCCATGTCTTTGGTGCGTGCGATGCTGAGATAAAATAGGCAAAGTACCCTCTAAATGAGTTTGAGGTGCACATGGACGTGGGAATCTTTTGTCGGAGAAATGTCACAGTTCCAAAGCTGACAGGCCGATTTCTATTAATTGCTCGACTTGCACCTCGGTCATGCAGTAATACCCGGTACCGTACTGACTAAGGACAGAGTAATTAGTTCAGCTAAGTACGAGCAAGCATCTTGGATCCAGGCGTGACATCCATACCGGTACGTACTGTACTACATGTGGCAGCTAGAAATAGCCCTGGGCAGCGCATCCCCTACCCACGCTCACTACAAGCATATCAGACCGGCCAATAGACCAATGCCCTACTCCCGTGTGTTACGTAGATTTCCAGGGAGAGTTCAAGCTTTCATCAGCTCGATCGTACGGTACAGTACGTACCGGTACATGCTGCGCCTTCGCATTGTGGCCACCACCGCAGCCACACTCCTCCAGTCCGAGTATCATGGTCAAGAACCTGCCTCAGCTCAAGCTCCGAGCCCTGGCGATCCCGTCCCCTGCCCTTCCCTTCCCTATAGCACACTCCCCCCTCAAGCCTCAACATCCGGAAAAACATCCTTCAAAAAGTTTGTCGAGAACCGCGTGCACTGCTCATAAGCAGCCTCAAAGCCGTCCCTGCCCCCGTAATACGGATCGTCCACCTCCTCCACCTTCTCCTTCGCTCCCTTCCGGCCCGCGTACTCCCCGAAGAGCATGACCTTGGCCTTGGCCTTGCCGCCGCTCCGCTGCTGCAGGCGCTGGAGATCGCGCAGGTTGTCCCGGTCCATGGCGAAGATGAAGTCGAATGTGGAGAAGTCCGAGACGTCGATCTGTTTGTTGGTTTGGACGTCGTCAACATTACCGTTCACCTTTTCCTTCCCAACCAGAGATAGAGACACAGACAGAGAGGTACAAAAGACATGAATGATCGGTAGTGAAGATAGGTAGGAGATAACTATCATCCAGTTTGGCTACCGGCAGACTGCTGGACATCGAGAAATAGTAAAAAGGACTTGCCTTCCGCGCAGCATGCCTATAGTCCGTGATCCCATTATCCGCCAGCGTGGATAACGTCCTCGAGTCCGGGCTGCTGCCGACGTGATACGCGCCCGTGCCACAACTATCGACGACGGAGATCAGGGACCGGTACGGTGGCTGGGAGACTATGGCTCGGAAGATGCCCTCTGCCATCGTGGAGCGGCAGATGTTACCGAGGCATACGAACAGCACCGAGACGGGCTCTGGGTTGGAAGCCATGGCGGCAACTGCAAGATCCTTTCGAGATCGCTCCCTCTCTCTGAATAGAAGAAAATGTAGATGTGTGATATAGAGTTTTCGTGGGCTCGTTTCAAGCTATTGAGTGTAGTTTGGCGATCGTCAGGAACAGGAACAGGAACAGGAACAGGAACAGGACAGGGACCTTTTTGCTTCGGGAAGGTACAGGAACCAGAACCACAAACATCTTCACCGCTCCTACCAAGACCCTTCTCTCTCTCTTCAACCCTCTCCATTTTGGAAGCATACTTTCTAAATTTAATCCTTACAACGCAGATTCTGCTGTAGGTTATTCTACATTTGAGTTATATCCTGAACCTCCTCCGGAATCAATTACACGTTTGTCCGTTCGCTCGCTCGCAGCCAACCAAGCCTTCCCACCCCGCTATCAATACACGCCACACTTCGACGATCAGGCAGCCCAGCCACCCGTGAACCCACCTTGATCTAATCTTATCGGAGTATTACGTGCAGAAGATCGTCGATGGAAGCATATTTTCATTCTTCTTGACCAGACAACAAGATCGCTGAGTTTCTCCGATTTTTTTTTTTCAAGCTCGTGACAGCATGTCTACAGTACCTAGCCGTGATATCGCTCTGCATGCCCCCAAGAAGCTAGATGATCAACCCACCCTACGCAGCCTCAGCCCCCAGCTTCTCCAACTCCATCTTCAGGAATTCCTCGGCGTTGACTAGCTCCGTGCTCCCATATACCACTCTCCTCTTGCCCGCACCCTGGCTCGCGCCGCTCCCCCCAGCCCCGGTCCGCTTAGCCCACTCCTGCAGATTGCCATACTCTTCCATACTGCCCCCGCCAACGGTAAACACGATGGCCTCGCTAAAACCCTGTCTCCTCTGCCCGAACGTAGCTGTCATGCCGGGCCCCAGACCACCCGGCATCTGCTCCCCTTTCCTTGCTGCACTTGGCGGGGGCAATGTACCTCTCGCGTTCGCACTCCTGGGGTCAAAATACAGGTAGTTCTCCGTTTTGGCAATGGCGCTGCTGCTGGCGCCCGCGGGGTCCATGATGGACTCGGTGATCTTGGTTACGGTAAGGTCTTTGTTGACAGGCATCAGGTTCTTGACACCTGAGATGAGGGTTTCGAAGTTGGCGCCGATGTTACCGCCGATGCCGGACTCTTGGATTTTGGAAGTGATGGTCGAGAGGCCACCGAGGCGGCTCTGGAAAGTGCCGAAGAGGCTGCCAGCGTTGGAGGGCTGTTGATTGGATTGGGATGGAGCGGAGGTCATCATTGTCATGCGAGTGGTGGCGCGGACCCTGGGGGACATGTTAGATTTTTCTCCATCACTTGGGATTATGAGGACTTACTGCTTGACGTAGGCGAGAGAAGACGTCTCAGCGCCTGCTGCCTTCAACAACTCCTCGAACTTCTCCATCTCGGCTCTGGATACATCTTGCTCGGTGCTTAGGAACCAGATGATGAATAGCCTCAACTTGTCGGTTGGCTCGGAGCCCTTGTCTTGGCCCGCCAACTCTTCCTGCATCTGTTGCTTGCTGAGCTTCGTAATGGCCTCCTCCATCTGGAAGTAGTTGTCCAATTGCCGATTCTTGATTCCCGTCAGCAATCCGGCAAGAATATTCATATGCATGTCAAGGACAGCCTTCCGCTCTCTCAACTCGGGTAATAGGGTGATGGCAGCTTTTAAGTGTTGTGCAGATGCGCTGGTGTCGTTTTGTAGGTCGTCTAATGAGGAAGCTCCTGTCTTTTTCGTAACCTCATTCGCATCGTCCTTATACCTGCTCAATTCTGCGTCGATGTCTTCCGCCACCGCTGGGAAGGGCAAGCTGGCATTCTTGCTCCAGAAGAAGTCCGTTGATGTCAAGTCGTATGCTTTCTTCGTCGAGCCCTTAGCCGGGTTGTTCTCGTCTACCGGCGTCTCAACTGTGATCCTGTTGAGCTTCATTTTCAGCACATCGTGCACTAGTGATTGGTATGTCCAGGAGTGAGAGAGCATAGGTATCAAGTCTACGTTTCGGTCGAGGATAATGAGAACAGGACGCGAGGAAGACGCCCCACTGGATGTGGATGGACGATTGCTCTGTGACGATGAGAACAGATTGTCTTTTGAGTTCAGAATGTGGTCTCGTAGTTTCCGGTCGAGCTTTGCTGCAATCATTTCTGCTGCCGCATTTTTCGGACAACGTATAATGGGCATAACACCTAGGAAGGTCAGAGTCAAAGTGGTACTGTCCTTTAGAGCTTCCCAAACATACCCATTGTAGCCATTACACTGAACAGACCAGTGACAATCCTGTCTACGACATGATCGAGCTCCTCGTCCTTCGTCCGCGCACTATTCAGGGCCCAATATGTATTATCTTTTCTCATTCCTAGACTGAACAGATCCGGCTCTCCCACAATGAAGTTCAGATATTGGTCATAAAATTGCGCGATACTCTCAGAAGTCCCCGCTTCGGCCGTTTGCCTCGCAAAGTCTTCAAGGAGGGGTCGTGGTATGGAGGAGAGGAAATTGATGTAGGCGGGAGAGTAGAGTCCGCGCGAGAGGTCGGAGGTGATCGAAGCCAGATTCGACGCCGTAGGCTCAACGAGATATAGAACTGGTACATCTGGGATCGGGTGCCGCGAGGATGCAATGTGCCTAACTCCATCAGCCCTCTGCTCGCAAGCCAGCATGTAAGAGGGTAGCGAACGTACATGTGCATTGTCACTCCCCATGTTCGCAAATCGCTCACTCGCAGGACACTGCTGATGACATCTCGACCCAGGTCGTCAAAGACAAGCACTTTCCATATGGGATCTCCATCTGAGTTGAGGATGGGCACAGAAACGGCTGTTGCGCCGTTGCTCGCGGAATGCTCGTGGTCGCCGTTGGATTCTTCGGAATCGTGGTTTAAATTCAGCATGCGCTCAATCGATCCTGTTGCAAGGTCATTAGTTACAGTTCAGTATCCCGTCTTGGGGAAGGGGAGGGGGAGGAGAAGGGGGTTCGCGCACTGATCTGGCGGTCCCGGAGCGAGTTGTGACTTGAGGCCATGGTTGCAAATGTTCTGCTGGCTGGAAATCAGCCAGATCTTGGGGGGCTGGATCATGTAAATCGGCTGCAGCGTTGGAAAGGCGCGGGGTGGGGAGGGGATATAAAGATTATGTGGTATTTGATCCGGGACAGATCAGTGGTTTATTCGCAGTGGGTGGTTGAATGACACCTCAGCCTTGGATCTCTACAGTACCGGTATACTTCGCCCGTACCGATACAATGTAGGTAAGCTGTTGCTGCTACGGTACGGTAGGTCGGCCGGCATCCGCATGAGAGCAGGGCCCACGGCCACCATACGGAATCTGGCTTAGCGCAGGCCCTAAGCCGGAGGATGTCTTTCAGTGGCGCCAACATGACCCCTTTGCATTTCTACCTATTCTCTCTTTCCTTCCTTTCAATCCATTCCCACCACATCTCCCCTTCATAAACCCAACCCAACCCAACCCACATATCATCTCAATTCTCTTCACACCCCACCAGTACTCTTGCCCGGCCATCATGGCCTCGACCCTTAACAGAGACTAATGATCGTACTATTGACCTGCACAACCAAGTGACGAATAAATAAGGGTCGCGTTCGCCCGCTGCGTGGAGGGCCTTGCCATTAGAGAAGAGAGAGAGGGGGAGAGAGAGAGAGAGAGAAAGGCAGAGCAGAGAAGACAACGTGGCAGAGGAGAGGAACGCGAAGGCAAAGCAACAGCAAAGGGTATGGTGACACCATGACAATTCTACACATTGCTGCATCTCACTCCACTCCATCCCTATCCCCCATCACATACATCAAATTTATTACATGCATCATACACGTCACATACATCACATACATCAAATTCTCTCGAGGCATAAGGCTCTACCCTCCATACACTGCAGTCTGCGTGCTGCTCCAAACCCCCTTCCAAATGCCAAGACACGAGCTCGCGCTTCTGCCTCCGCAGCCCTTTGGAGTCAAAGGACGAGGACGGGGACGGGGATGAGGATGGGCCGGCTCTATGCAGACACACAAGCAGACAGGCAAGCAGACAGACAAAAAATAATCCGGACACGCGGACACGCGATAAGGCCTTGACTGCCCAGCCAGCCCGCCTTTGCCACCGGGAAAGAGGAACAGGAGATCGTGACCAGATCGCCTGTCTGCGGTAGGGTTGAGGCGGCTAATATTTTTGGTCTGGCGGGCGGCGTGTGGTGTGTTTCGGTGTTGCTGGGCTGGCCGACAAATCCTCGGCTCTTCCAGGCTGCAGACTCCGGGCTGCTTATTCTGTAGGAGAGCAACGGACATTCGGACGAACGAACGAACAAACAAACAAACAAACAATCGACCCGCCGTAACGCGCCGTACTTTTATTTGCCACATTTCTTTTCATTGGGTCCCTTTGGTTATTTGTTTTCTTTCGCCAGATCTCCGTCGAGGCCGCCGAAACGGTATTCAATTGAGTTGCATTAAGGGAACCATCATGCTGATTCAGTCTTCTTCGTTTAGCCAACCAATCAATTCACTCACTTCACCACCCAGCCCCACTCTTTTCCCACCTACCAAGCCACCAACCAGAATCCCCCCCCGTTCTCCACACCCGTTCTCAAGGTCAACTGTCAACTCGACTCGACTCGACTCGACTGGAGCTGACCTCGACCGTCTCACGTGACCATCAATACATCGACGAGGAAGACGACAACTCTACACATACACACAGGCACCATGGAAGGCCATGATGCCCATGTGTTTTTGCCCGATGACTTAATGTACGATGATCTGATGTCCAACACGGGTTGGCCCGCCGCTCCTACCGACCAGCAATTCTCCTACCAGCAGCAACAACACCAACCCCAAGTCTCCGCCGACGCATACGCTCGATACCCAGCCAGCAGTCACCATCAACTTCATCACCACCACCAGTCCTTCGACCAGTTCTCCCTCCCTCAACAAGTCTCCCAGTATACGCAGGCCGCCTATACCAATTCACCCTACGGTTCTCATTCCCAGTCCCAGTCCCAATCCCCGTCGCAGTCACAGTCACAGTCACAGTCACAGTATCAGCACGCAAGACCGTCTGATGTCTTTGGCCCGAGCTCATTCTCCGTCGATCCGTCCTTACCAAATGGCACCTCCTACCAAGGACATGAGGGCTCGTTCACATTTGACCCCCATGCCCATAGTAACATGGACTCCGCTACCATCTCCCCCCAATCCCTTCAGTATTCCATGCCCGCGTCCTCACAAACGCAAACAATCAGCCACACCGTGTCGGCGGCGAATCTCCAGCGCCAGCCAAATGGCCTGGGCAACCACTTCCTCCAGCCGAGAACGCAGTCTCCTGCTCCTTCATACTATAGTGCGGTGCAGAATGGCAACTACCAGCCGATCCAAGCTAACAATCTGCGTTACCCAAGCTTGCCTAATGACAGCCAGGCCCTCCCCAAGCAGAACATTAAGAGAGTCGTCGCGGATGAGACTACGCAAAGTATGCAGCTGGCTGCCCTCCGCGCTCAACAAGCAAGGTCGGCGCCTCCGCCTAACCCGTTGAGAATTACCCATCCGGCGCTCCATGATGAGTCGACCAAAGTTAAGAACCGATTCGAATATGCTCCTTTCCTCACGTGGGATGATGTTGCAATCGTCGTGCCAACTGGCTTGAAAAGTAGGTGACATTTGTTTGTCATCCACTGGTGTGGTGTAATGAATGAATGCTGACTCATGTGACCGGACATAGCGACTCTTCCCAAGTACCACCCACGGAAATCAAAAAGTGGAAAGGATCTGGTGCCCGGTCTGAATCTGACGGGTAAGTTGTTCACCTTTGTTTGTTTTAGTCAATCGGTGAAAATTCGGCTAGCTGGATCGCGGCGCTAACGGCCTTGGGCTAGCAGTGTTGACACCGGTCGGAACGGGCAAGCGAAGAGGGAGACCCCCTAAGGTACGCAATGCACCAGTCAGCAGCTACAAGGGGACTAGCGGCGGCCCAAAACCTCCTACAATCAACAAGCTTCGAGACGATAGTAGCCTCGGCGCCAAATCTCCTTCGACACCGACAGAGACAAGTTCCTCCGAAGAGGAGAGCAGTTCCGAAGAGGAATCCGAGTACGAGGAGGACGAGGAAATGGCTCTCCAGGACGTCTCAACTGTACGTTTGTTCCTATCCTCTCTATGTTATCCTCGATTCGCGTAGTCTTGCACCTTTCACTCCCAACTCCCATGGCGTGCATAACTAATCAGTGCAGGTTCGAGGTGAAATTCGACCGACTACCGCGCCCGAAGCCTCGAGATGGGATGCTATTGGTATAATCTGGAGAGACCCTAATTCTAGTCCGAGCCGTGATGTCGTTCAAGCAGCTCTTACAGAGTATGGTAATCTGATAAGTGCCTTGCGGGCACAAATCAAGACAAACTCGACCAAGTCTGAGGCGGCGGCCGCGCAACCAGCGGAGGTACAGAGATTGAAGCAGGAGCGTGTAGTTCTACTGGACTCGTTGTATCAAGCAATTGATGCCGCCAATGTTCATGGGTACGGTCCGATTGTAGAGAATCTGGGGGGCTATCATAAGCTCGTGAACGGTCTGACCACAACCCTGATCGAGTGCATTAAAGCCCGAGATTACCAGTCGAGGCTTCCGAAGGCCATCTTTAGTCTGCTTGCAAGATTTCAGACCATGACAGATGAGCTGTTGAAGAAATTAAAATTTGACAGTATTCAAAAACGCTGGGAGAAACAGGGTGACGAAGCAATCAAGAAGGATATCGCCACAATTCTCGCTAATACTGTCGATGCCAAGGAAAAGGCAGCCAAGGCTAAGAAAGAAGCTGAACAGCCTGAGAGCCAGAAGAAGCCGCGTGAGAAAGTTGTGCAGATCAAACCCCGATCCGCTGAGACAACCGCTTCGACAAAGAGGCCACACGAAGGTGATGGTTCCAATGGCAAGGCGAACAAGAAGTTTGCTCTAGACACAGCGACAACCTCAAATCCTACCGCAGCAAGACCAACCCCCATTAAGCGAACTGGCGTCAACCTCCTTGGCATTCAATCGAAGCCCATCACAAAGCCGATCCCAAAGAAGCGCGATATCTCTCCTCCGACGGAATCCAAGCTGGGTGCGATTCTGGCAAGCATTGCAAAGCCTCCCGAGCCACCCAAAGCCCCAGCCGCACCTCCTCGAGCACCCGAGACCCCCGAAGAAAAAGCCAAGCGTGAGAGAAAGGAGAGTAGACGGCATTTGCGTGTCAAATTCAAGGACGGCCCCGAACTTGAGCAGATCCGCCTCTTCAAACATGAGGTGGCTGAGGACGAAGGCAGGCAAGATGAAATGCTCCGAGATGCACATGATGATCGCTTGGAAGGGATGATGCACAAGCAACGTGTTTCAGAGAGTATCGACGAAGACGAAGAGTACCAACCTAGCGAAGCTGATCTCCCGTACCCTGAGTCCATCGCCATCAACTTCAGCCCGCTCGAAAATACAACGCGCTTTGGACCGACCTATGTCACTCGTGGCGGTAATGTTCCAATCGCAACTCGCGAGCAAAAGACCCAACAGCGAAGAGAAGAAGTCGAGTTGATGGTCGTCTACACCGATCCCAGCGATATCCCACCCACCGCCAAGGAGCCCCCCCAGACGGACAATGGAACGGACGGAGCGATGGATTACGAGCCTGGATGCGAGATTCAATTGTCCAAGGAGCCTTGGCTTGTCCAGCGCCTCAACGAAATTAACCAGTATGGTCCAGATCAGGCTTACCAGATGGCTCTCGGCCGCCAATCAGCAGAGCAATGGAAGGTCCACAATCAGTCTCACCAAGCCGTCCCTGCTATTCACCCTTCCAGCAACAACATTTATTCTGTTCTTCAGCAGCTTAGTGGAGCAACTCAGAAGCCTGTTTCACAAGCACCACAACAAGTACCCCAGGTCGAAGCTCCAGCATACCCTGAGTATTGGGCGAATCTCACCGCTATTGTTGCACAATTGAAAGGCCTTCCATTCCCTGCTACTGAGCCACCTCGATGGATGTCAAACCCTACTCAAGTAGAGGAATGGAAGCGAGGCTACAACAAGGACATGGCTGCGAAAAGAGCAAAGGAAGACGTTTTCGTCAAGTCGCAGCAGCAACCTGCCCAGTACCCACCGCATCTTGCTCCGATGGCCAATACCATCTTCCAGGCCCCGATACCCCCAACGCTACTCAGTATGCCCATACCACCAGTTTCCGCCAGCCAACCAAGCCCAGACATCGCACTGCAAGTCCAAAACTACCTGGCTGCATACCAAGGCGGAGGCAATGTACCACTGCCTAACGGAAACGCTCCGTCTATCCCACCGTTCCAGAATCAGAACCGAGCAGACGACGTTGGTCAAGGAGAAGAGCAGGGTGGCTACGGAGAGCAGCGTCGCTGGGATCCATCTTGGGGCAACGACAACAAGAATGCGTCGAGACGTGGTTTCGACCCGGCCAATCGGGACCGTCTGTTTGACGAGAACGGCGAGTACAAGGGGAAGAAGATGCCGTGTAGGTACTTTCGGGAAGGGAAGTGTGTGAAGGGCGCAAAGTGCACCTATCTCCACGACTGAGCTGTGTCATGTCCTATCCTATCTACTTACAGGCCTCCGACACCGCTTGAGGGCTTAGTCGGGTGCTTTGCGGGAGCACACGAATCACACGATATCTTGGTGCCTTTTGTCCATAATCGATTGCATTTATTGGCGCGGCGTTCAGGTGGGAGGACATGGTAAGATGTGAGGTGTGGGGAAGGGAGCGAGATACCCAGGACCTCGACTCGACTTTGATTAGGTAGTCATGCACTAAGGCAGTTTACAACTTTTTTTTTTTTTTTGGCTCTCTCTCTCTATCTCTCTCTCCGCCCCTTTCTTCCTTCTACTAGCTTTCTTTCACCCTGTATTTAAAAGAAAAGAAGATGGTTCAGCGACATACTCAGTTGGATTGGACGGAGCCTTGGGCGCGAGGGAGGTTAGACTAAACTAATATAATTGCTTATTTATTTATTCCATTTAATTTGTTTACTTTATTTTTTTAAAAAAAAATTGCTTCTCGTGCGTTGGTAGCGTTTGGGGGTTACGAATGAGGGAGGGTGGAAGGGAGGGGGGGAAGGGTGGGAGTCTGATATTAAATGGATGGGATGGGATGGGATGGAATTGGACTCAATTGAATCGGATTGAACTTCTTACATTCTTATTACGTACTTACGTGTGTATGGAGATACATGCATGCTTAGGCTTGGGCTGGAATTGGATTGGGTGAGTGAGTGAGTTGGGTGAGTTGTTACCGTGTGTGAGATTTGGTGATTGTTTATTTGTATTTGTGTATATTTTGTTTTGTTTTGTGTGGTGTGGTGTGGTATGGTATGGTATGGTATGGTATTGTTTTACAGACCTGGAAAGGAGAGGGGAGAAGGAGAGGGGAGAAGGGAGAATTGGACTTGATGGACTTGATGGGCTTGGCCGGCTGAGTGAAAGATGGCTAGCTCGAGCCTAAGGACCTTATCTATTACTTTTTCTTTGTGTCGAATTTTATATCTGTCTTGCACTTTGTGTTTTTTTTTAGAAAAAAAATCATCTTTTTTGTTTTTCGTCCTGTATGTTTGATTGATTGATTGATTAATTGATCAGTGGGTGGGTAAGTGAGTAGGTAGGTAAGTCCGGCGTTCAGTTGAGCTTTTTAGTTAAGAGTGCTTACTCATTTATTCGATTGCTTGCAAATTGAAAATCTCACTTTTAATTATATATATTTTCATTTACTTAATTGGTTCGTTAGTCAGTCAGTTAGCCAAGTATCCCGTCTGCTGCTGGCCTGCCATGGTACGATGTAATAAGGCAACGAACGGTATTTAATATATGCTTTGTAGATTGAGAATAGAGGATGGAGATGGACATGTAGGTAGGGTGTTTGAGTGTGAGTGTATTATTTTTATTTATATTTAACTAGCTAACTAGGAAATGCTGCCCCAAGCCCCTCCCCCACTCGGATCACAATGCCCTCCGAAAACACATCACCGCCCTCCTCTTCCGCATCGCGTGGCATCTACCCACTTGCCCTCTCCCCGGAAAGCCCCGTCCGGCCCGTTCCCGTTCCCGTCCTCCGGACCTCCGGGCATCCCTCGGCGCTAATCAGGAATTGCGGGCGTCGAGGGTTGATATTTGAAACGCTAGCACATGTTGAGTAGTATCTATGCGCGGTCATGCGGCTGCATGGAGAAGTCAGTGTTGATTGATTGTAAACTCTGATCTCGGCTATTAAGGGGGCGTTGTCACCCCTAGCCGAAGCGGCCGCATGGGCAGAAAATTCACCGCTTTAAACATTTCACGAATCGACTCTACATTATTCAAGGGAGTTCGCAGCGCAATCATTCGAGTATGTTCGGAGCGCCTTCGATCTGTCGACGATGTATAAACACCTACTTGAAGCCCAGTAGAAGGCGGCTATTGCGCTTCTCCAGCACAGGTAAGCCAAGTCCACTCACTGTTCCCAATCCTGCGGCCACCAGCTTATTTCGACACAGCAAGCAATGTCTCGTTCTCGCCCGCTCTGCTCGCAAGAGCGCGCAATCTTGCCCATGAACACGATCGATTGAGTGAGCAGACTACCGAGACCTTCGATGCCAAAATAGCGAAACGGATCGGGGAATTGAGAAGCGTGGCCGAAGCGTTGAAAGAGTGGGAAACCACACAACAGAACCAGGAAGAGCTCAAGTCCCTCCTGGTAGACCCTACCACCGAGCCGGAGCTCCGTGAGCTGGCTGCCGAAGACCTGGCCGCCACAGCCACGGAACTGGAAACGCTGTCCAAGAACCTGGCAACTTCTCTGACGCCCAAACATCCCTTCGAGGACATGCCCTGTCTGATTGAGATCCGGCCCGGCGTAGGCGGAGGCGAGGCGGCACTGTTCGCGGGAGATCTGCTCCGCATGTACCGCTCCTTCTGCGCCCGCAAGAACATGCGCGCCTCCCTCCTCAAATACGAGACCGCAGACGGCGAGTCGGACGCCAGCGGGGAGTCGCCCCTCGCGGAGGCAATCCTCGAGGTTGAAAGTGCTGGCGCCTACGGAAAACTGCGCTCGGAGGCCGGTGTACACCGCGTGCAGCGGGTACCAGCTACGGAAAAGCAAGGGCGGACCCACACCAGCGCTGTGGGGGTTCTGGTGCTGCCTAGTCTGCCCACCAATGCAAGCGAGGGGGGGGGGATCTGGGAGGCGGATCTCAATGATCCGGCGAGCGACTATTATGTTAATAGTTCGGATGTCAGAACCGATGTCATGAGGGCGAGAGGCGCGGGCGGCCAGCATGTTAACACGACGGATTCGGCGATCCGGTTGACGCACTTGCCGACGAATACGGTGGTCAGTATGCAGGATTCGCGGTCGCAGCACAAGAATCGCGAAAAGGCGTGGCAGTTGCTGAGGTCGAAGCTGGCTCAGGCGAGGAGGGAAGCGAGAGAAGAGGAGGTGGTCAAGTTGAGGAGGGGGGTGATTGGGGTTGCGAAGATGGGGAGGGGGGATAAAGTCCGCACGTACAACTGGGGCCAGCAGCGGGTCACGGATCATCGGAGCGGGCTGAGTGTTCACAATCTGGATAATGTCATGGAGGGGGGCGATGAGCTGGAAAAAGTGATTGATAGTGTACGAACATGGCTGGGGGAGCGGGAGATTGAAGGCATGCTCGCAGAGGAGGAGGCAGTTAACAATGCCCCGAAGTGTAAATGATACTTTTACTCCAGGCCTCATTCATCCATTCATCCATCAGCCCGTGTTGCTTTTTTCTTTTCCTCGAGTCGTCTGCCTGGCCTCTCTTTCAACAAAGCCGCATGCAACTTTACCTTCTAGCATCACTCAGCACGTATGACCCGTTTTTCAAGACCGCTTCAGCCTGCCGCGGGTTAAGTAAATGGAGGAAGTCCCGAACAGAGCCTCTGACAACCCAAAAGCCGAAAGCCAGAGCCAAAAGCCAAAAGCAATGTCTCCCTACCCACATGTTTCCCTCTCCTTTTTCCATTTCTTGTATAAATGATATTAGACTATGTTATACTGCATTGTATTGCGAACACTCCACTCTATTCTACACCGAGTGGTGAGAGATTTCGACTGCTGACGCGAGTATATACATAGATAGGTACATGCATCCGGCCCTCTCCTTTGCTTCGGGACGAGCTTCTCCTCCCCTTCCCTCTCCTTCCCCCTCTCCTCCCCCCTCCCTTTTTTTTTGGTCTTTTGTCTTTTGGTCCTCAGCTGCTCGTGATGACTTTTCCTTTTCCTTTCTTCTACAAGACGATAGCTCCGGTTCTGTTTTGTTTAGTTCTGGCTCGCTTAAACTGTGTTGGAGCAGTGGCGTGTTTTGTCGACGCCGGGTTTGGGCTTGTTTGGCAGAGCTGGAGTACTAGTACTGAGAGGGGAGAGAAAGAAAAGGAAGGAAGGCAAGAAAGCAGAGAAACAGGAAAAGAGAAGTGAACCCAGATTGCATTGCATTACTCGCATAAAGGCTTCCCAGAGGAGGTGTGGGTGGGTGGTGTGAAAAGACGCACAAAGATGACTTTGTACGAGCGCCCAAGAAAGGGGGGCAGAACCATAATAAGATTCGTCGTAAGAAGAGCGCAAAAAGTGGTGGGGGGATAGTTCGTTATTGTTCTATGTACAAGAGAAGAGGTGGCTTCTTAATACTAGTGGCACTAGCTAGTCTGGCCCAAGTAGGTCCTTGTCAGTGGACAAGCCAGGACTACCTCTCTACAGTGGGTTGGTTGTTGTCACTCACCGCGGGCTTTCTTTCTTTTTACTGGAGAGCGATGGGATTGGGAGTTTTCGGCGTTTGTGTATGTTGGTTCTGAATGGCGTTTGAGTTTCCTGATGAGGTATGAGGAGGGATATACAAGGGGGAAGAAGGAGCAGGAGGAGGGGGAATGAGTAAATCGTGGGCTGAGATGATGTCTAGTTCGTTCGTCACACGTTTCGGTTCCTGATTCTTCTTCTCAGAGTGTGGTGAGCTAATTGGTTGGTGGATGGATGCTGAGAGTGTAGTAGTTGGTGTGCTGGATCCATACGCGTTCCGTATCCGCGGAGGTTTATCTCATGTATGACTTGATACTTATTGCCACGGAGAAAGCTATCGAGAATGATCCTGGGGAGGGAGGGCTATTCTCTGTCTAGCACGCATCAGCTACATTGTTTGATGGGTGTGTGTCCCGGTCTATCAGATAGATGGTCCACACCGAGTGATACTCATGGTGGCCAGGCTGTTGTGAGAGATGCAATCGTGAAGTGCGAAACGCATAGTATGTCGCCCTATGCAGGTGCTGGAAATGAGTACCACAATGTTTCGGACTATGGAAAGTCATGTCCTGTTCTACCTTGGAAGGGACGGAGATACTTACGTGAGAGCAGTACGACAAGCAATTCTCTGTGCGGGAGACATCACTCTCGATTTTGCTGAGCTGGTGATAGGTGCAGATGAGCGCTTGACACCGAAATGGGTTCGCAGGGACGAATTCGACTCATCAGTGTAGATAGAGATAGATGTAGATCAAAAACCCCTCCTTCTCTCCCTTTGCTTCCTTGTCTTGACATGCTGGCAAAAGCCCAAGACCATTGCAAATCCCAGACTTTTGTAAAATCCGTGGCTACTGTTTGTTGATGAAGTGTGATACAATCCACGGCTTGGGCTCTCGACAATTGGTCGCGTGAGAAGGCTGTCTAGGATTTTGTGAAGTGAAATAGTGAAGTAATACTTCCTGTAAGATCGGTCTTTGGAAAGTTATCCGTCCTAAGCACTGTGCGCACTCCCCTCACGAATTGAACGATGGAAATACCCATCTTTTGAATCGCCGTCTAGCCAAGGATATTGAATGAGGATCATTCTCTCGTCGGGACCAGCCTTGCTGCGCTAGCGAGACCTGATTCTTTTTCGGAAAGTACCAAAGGTGAATATCTGACCAGCAGTCACAACGCACTTGACGCGAACCAATACGCGATAATTCACCAAATTACACCAACGCGTATTTGATTTATCAGCCTAGAACTCAAGGCTCGATCTCTTCCCAACAAACACACTTCCTGGACAGATATCAGCACGGTGACTCAGTCAACACGGAATATTATCACCATCATCATCATGTCCAAGGAACACAAAGCCAGCCAGTCTGGCAGTGCCAGCGCCAACGCTTGGAAGAAAGATATCGAACTCGTGACATGCTTGTTCAGATTGCGATGCCAACCACCTATTCCCTACCCGATTATCGCCGGTCTACTCCTGAAGACACTACCTTCTGTCATAGGCCGCATCGCCGAGACAGAGAGATCGGAGGACAAAAATCCGGAGCGAGGCATGAAGGAGTGGTTGGAGATGTATTTGGAGCAGGTGTACGACGGCTCTGAGAACTTGCAGAGCGAGGGTTGGAAATCGGCCCGGAGCTGGGATGAGGCTGTTGTGAAGGAGTTGTTGATACTCTCTGGGCTAAATTTGAATGGTAATGAGTATCAGGTCATGGGAGAAAAGGAATTGGCTCTGCAGATCAAGTGGAAGAGCGAGGGAGACTGTAAGTTGACTCTACACCTCAACAGTGGTAGGTCAGGCAAGTACAGTGTACTGACTGGTTTCAGGGAGAGCTGGCTCGACACCACTTGAGCCGTTGAGACGATTCAATCGAGCTCGCGGTACATCATCTCTGTGGCAGAACGAGTATGTACCGGCGAAGCCCATGATGTTCCTGTTCAAAAGCTCCCAAGAAACCAGTGAATATATCCTATCCTCAGTCTTCGTTGGCCGATTGCTGATTATTCGTGTTCAACAGCCACAGCCGAGCCATTGATTCGACATACGGCTTCATAGACCTTAGGACGGGCGTTGTTGGTCAGATGTGAAGTGGGCCAATGGCAGAAGATCGCCGAACTTGGAGTCTGGTGGTCGGCGCGGACCGTCGAAAGTCTCCTTCCGAACTCAAGACAAGCCCAAATCCAAATCCAAATCCAAATCCAACCTGCCCGAACTCAAAGCCCGAGAATATGAAGACCTGCGAAGAGAAACAAGGAAGCGAGTTGCGTAAGCGTGGAGTGCAGTTCCATCTCCAAGACTTGACCGCAGGTTATTACGGAGTTCATGGATGGACTGAAATGGGGGAATAAATGCACACGATGAACATGAGACAGAGCAATTTGAGCATCACCAGGCTTGTCATTTGCGTGAATTATGCATCTTTCTTCGGGAAAGCTGGGCTCTGGATATCGATAATGCTATTGATATTGGGGAAGGACTCGCTCTGAGACTGCAGTCAGAAACCGCGTTGCATAAAGGAAATTACAAGAAATCGATAAAATGACCAGTCATTGCAACTGAAACTATTTCCCATACATACATACAATAGAACACAATTTCCAGAACTGTGTAGATGGGCCATTTGAACACCAATCCTTCTATCCGCCAATATATTTGCCACGAATTAGAGCGTCCAACGGGGATGTCGCATCCAACAAGCGACTAAAAGCACTATGTAAAAGAAGACAATGCCGCGAATGCAAACAAAATCCAAATAGAAATATAAGTTGTACTTTTGACTTGGAGATGCAACGCTCGTCTACGGGCGTATTGGCCGGGGGATAAAGTGAAGCCTTTGATTTCGCTTGGCTCTTACATAGCGGCTACGACACGATAAGTAAGCCCAGCAAGCCCAGCAAGCCCAGCTTTGCTCTGCTTACTTACCAGCTTTCCAGCTTGTACCCCACCATCCCGATAGATATTGCTATCCATTCCTCTTCCTCTTCCTCTTCCTCGACCGCAGCCGCAAGAGCTGAGATATTGGCCCGACCTACCTACTCATTTCTCACATCTACTTCTCCCCCGTTTCCTCCGCCGGCTATTCTAAAACGCTCGACTACCTCCTACGTACATCCACTCGTTCTGCTATAGAAACCCGCCTCGTCAGCCCTCCATCCGTCTCCTCGGGAATTGCCCAACCTTGCGTTTACCCACAGCGCAGCCGACTGCTGTGGCACTGCGCGCGGCGACGAGTGAACCATCACCCGCGGGTAATTGCAGAAAAGAGCCGGGCTCCTCCTTTGTTCTTGGACTCGAAACCAAAATCTCGAAACCCAGACAACCCAGACAAACCCATACACACATTCCAACACCATGACCAACCTCCAGGGTCGAAAGGTCTTCAAGGTCTTCAACCAGGACTTCATTGTTGACGAGAGATACACGGTGACGAAGGAGTTGGGTCAGGGTGCCTATGGAATCGTCTGGTATGGCTCGACGCTGCCGCTTGACGTGCCCCGCTGACAACGCTGATATAGTGCCGCAACAAATACGCAGACTCAGGAGGGCGTAGCTATCAAGAAGGTTACCAATGTATTCTCCAAGAAGATCCTGGCCAAGCGTGCGCTGCGAGAAATTAAGCTCCTACAACATTTCAGAGGCCATCGCAATGTGCGTCAAAATACCGGTGGTGGTGGAGTGGGATTGGGGCTGACAATAGCAGATTACATGTCTCTATGATATGGACATTCCTCGACCAGATAACTTCAACGAGACCTATCTGTATGAGGGTAATTTACGATCCGGCACGCGTAACTTGAGGAATTATGCTAACTTGTGGCAGAACTCATGGAGTGTGATCTCGCAGCCATTATCCGATCCGGCCAACCCCTCACCGACGCCCATTTCCAATCCTTCATCTACCAAATTCTCTGCGGTCTGAAATACATTCACTCCGCAAATGTTCTCCATCGTGATCTGAAGCCCGGTAACTTGCTGGTCAACGCCGACTGCGAGTTGAAAATTTGCGATTTTGGTTTGGCCAGAGGATTTTCAGTCGACCCCGAGGAGAATGCTGGATACATGACTGAATATGTTGCGACGAGATGGTACCGTGCCCCAGAAATCATGTTGAGTTTCCAGAGTTACACAAAAGCTAGTAAGTAATTCCACCATTACGATTGAACATTTAGCTGACAAGGACAGTCGATGTCTGGTCCGTTGGATGCATTCTTGCAGAGCTCCTCGGAGGACGACCATTCTTCAAGGGCAGAGATTACGTCGATCAACTCAACCAAATTCTCCACATCCTTGGTACACCCAACGAAGAAACACTCAGTCGCATTGGATCTCCCCGAGCTCAAGAATACGTCCGCAACCTCCCCCACATGGCCAAGCGCCCATTTCCAAGTCTGTTTCCAAACGCCAACCCCGACGCATTGACTCTCCTGGATCACATGCTGGCTTTCGACCCATCTTCCCGTATCTCCGTTGAGGAAGCTCTCGAGCACCCATACCTCCACATCTGGCACGACGCCTCGGACGAGCCCGGCTGCCCAACAACCTTCAACTTTGACTTCGAAGTCGTGGAAGATGTTGGCGAGATGCGCAAGATGATCCTGGAAGAGGTTGCCCGATTCAGACAACACGTCCGTATCCAGCCTGGGCAATTAGGCAATACCCAGGGTCCTGCGGTGCCGATCCCCCAAGCTAACGGTGGATGGAGCAGCGAGGATCCGAGACCTCAGGAATATGGCCAGAACGCCACGGGTCTTGAGCAGGATCTTCATGGTGGTTTGGATGCTATGCGAGCGTAGATCCTCAATGGATTTAATCCACCAGTTGGTTTGGATCGAGGTTGCGGTTTTCGATAAGATGAGATGACAGGTAAGGAAGGCAAGCAAAGTGAGTATGAAAAAAGCAAAGATATCATGAATGAATTTGAAGATCTCTCAGCTAGCTCCCTTCCTCAATTTTGAACTCTTTTCTTTTTCCATTGTGATATATTACATGGTCTTTTCCTTTTTCGTCGTCATGTCGCTTAACGATAAGTCGTCCAGGAAAGGGGTAGGGGGTCCACCTCGCTAAATTTCATAGGAAAATTGCCTTCGGAAACCATACGGGTGTAAAGGGGAGTATTGGAGATGGAAATTGAGCCTTTGAATTTGAAGTTTGTCGTGTGTTCGTCTGAAGCCAAGCTCTGCTCCATAACACACCTTCTTCTGACCTCGATACATCGAGCGCAAACGAAACAGATGTCTGGGCCAACGCAGCAGCGAGGTACGCTAGACCCCCCGCGTGGGAGCAAATAGAGTCTCAAAATATGTACGTATAACATCTCCCCCACCAGAGGACGGACGGCTTTTCGCGTCTCTCTTTCCCGTCCAGCGAACGAACGACTCCTCGTCGGTCTTCTGTCACACTCCTATGCATATATATCTGTACTGATCAATCATCCATTAAGTACAGTACCTATCAATAGCCTTCCAGCCAGGCATCTCAGCCTAGCACGCTCATTAACTCTCTCTACCCCATTAGCAGGCATCCCATCCCATCCCATCCCATCTCCCACCAGGAGATGGATCACGCGTAAAACCAATACTCGGCCGCGTAATCGACCTGCTGCGCACCCTCTCGATCGCAGACGGCCTTCCCCCCAGCCGTGACGACCCGGTACGCAGCACCCAGCCCCACACTCTCCGCCACGTAGTTCTGCTTCGCAACCAGGAGCAGCCAGTCAACGGCTCCATGACCCCGCCCGCCCGCTCCGGGATTCGAGCCCTCCGGTGCCGAGACGTTGGCGGCCCGGGTCGCGTACAGGACCTTGTTGACGCCCGACAGCTCGAAGACCGGCACGCCCGCCGCGTCGAAGTAGTGCCGCCCGATGGGCATGAGGGGCGGGGCTGTGCCGACTTGGAAGGCCTCGCCGGCGGCCGGGATCGGCTGGTCTACGGCTAAAGGGGGGATGGTGTGCAGCATGGAGGGGGAGAGCCGGGCGAGGGCTGTGGCGTCGAAGAGGGTGGCGACTGCGCCGACGGGGACAGCCGGGCCGCAGGCGGTGGCGCAGGTGTAGTTTTGCGTTCCGCGTCCGATCAGCGCGTACCGGAAGTTGAGGTCTATCCCGGGGAGGACGACGTCATCTAGTAGTGGGCATGTTAGATCTGGGGCTTTTCTGGGGGGGTTGGGTAGGGGGAACTTGAGTGAGGTGAGAGGAGGGGTGAAGAGCTGTATCTATCTGCTCGGAGTGTGTGGGTTCTTACGGGGGAGTGTGGGGTTTCGTGATGTTGATGGTTCGACTATAATTCGCGTGGCGCTTGAGAATTGGTGGAGAGGGGTCATGAGGAGACCGACGCAGATGGAACGCAGCGAAGGCATCTTGGAGATCTTGCTCTCGCGTTATTGAGAGGCGGCGAGGGGTGGTGGAACAGCGCTTGGGCGCGCCGTTGTTTTGTTGTGGGAGTTCGTGCTTTTGTTTTGAATTAGGCGAAGAGCTCAACCGTAGATAGGCGAATCTTGGTAGTCCCAAAACGATGGCGAGATTTTATGGACAGGTGAAACCAATACGTTGGCGAAGATCCTGCCAGAAGTGGCCCGACGAGATATCAAGTAGATGAGCACAGGGTGAAAAGGTTGACGCGGTGATACGAGAAGTGGGTATCAGCAATGGAAGAAGAGACGCGCAAGGAAAAGCTCGCTCATCTTCCCCCGCAGCGCCGGACTGGGCAGCTCTTGTTCTTATACATTCTCCTCCGCAGCTCTCCTACTTACAGACAAAAGCATTGCAGAGGCGCACTACATAAACGCATCGGCCCCGACCTGGACCGGCATGCTTTTGTGTCCTGCGCTCCCCCCCACATACGCCCCACACCACCAACCCCCTCTATGTGGTAGGTAGTCGGTGCATTATATGTAGTTTTTGTCGTTTGTTTGAAGTCTCAATTCTAATCCGACTTGATCATACTTCAAGAAGCCCAGGCCTTAGACCCAACAGCAAGTTCGAAGTTAAGATGTACACACCTACACACCCACTCGGGTCCGAAGAAGCAAATTCCAATCAAACGGCATACTCCGTACACAGCTGCCGGCAATCCTTCGTAGGGGCGCTTGTGGAGAGACCCACTCAGAATAGCCTATAAGTTCATATATAGCGCGATCTCTCGGTTTTTCCAGAAGTCCGAACTACGGGGAGAGAAGTGGAGTTGTCTAGGCGATAAATTCTCCATTTGTTACCAAATCTCAACTCTCTTGTTGGTTGCTTTCCCCTGTTGAATTGACTCTCTTTTTCCGTGGTTCAGACTTTCTGGAAGAACCGAGTAGCCGCTGCGGGAGAGTAATCTTAGAAACGGCCAGAGAGCTACGGAGAAGCTTTTAATAAGGCCAAGGGGGGATGCGGGTTACAAGGATCGAGGCCGAGGCAGCATGGCAGGCAAAACCGACGATTAAAGTCCATGTAGCGTTGATCATACTCCGTACATCGCATCGCGTCTCTCGATGCAGCGGCAGACGTGTTTGTTTGCATTTCAAACTTCCTAGATCAATTTACATGTAGCATTCCCTACTGGCGATACCTTCCTACCTACCGACCTAATCCATTAGATGCTTTTCTCGGCCTTCAAGCTGACGATGATAAGGCGCCGGTGAAGAAGCGCGAGGATTTTGTCATTTGCAGGCGCCGGGATGACTGTGCTGGCTGGCTGGTTGGTATATATATCCGTAGGTACTTTAGAGTCCGAGCCGGAGGCCGCTAATTTGGCGACGTCCCTTTTCTCTAATATAGGCAGCTGAAATTGAGCGGTGTGAGTCACAGGTTCTAAAAAGGCAGAAGGGAAGGAAGGGAATTCAGGCGGGCACCTTTAATGAGCTAATACGTGATTGATCATGTTCGTCGGTACCTGGGAAATGTCGGATGGAGTAAAGTAAACAAAACGCCTTGTAGCTAGCTGTAGCTGCTTGTGTGTGACGCGAGAAAAAAAGTGGGAATGGCTACCAAAAAGACGGGCAGTATAATCCGACGTAACGGCAGGACCCAGCCCAAGATAACACAGAAAATAACTGAGCGGGTGAAGAAAACCCAACTCGCTGATACTTGCACCCGGCGAGAGTCGATGACTTGCGCGTCTGCTGGGAGTTGGCTTTGACGCGAGGGGCTGGCACTCGCTTCCGACGGACTTTCTGTTGGTGCGGAAAGGAGCATTTTGCCGCCTTGCCGCTGCTTGTGTAAGGCTTGGATACAAGTACGACGACGTGGTATGGGCTACAGCCGATGCTTCTGACAGCCGGCCAAATCAACATATTCCTCCCTATAAAACATCCAAAGCAAAATCTCAACCAGGTCAATTTAATTTTGGTCAACATTGAAGAGGCCACTGGCAGCCCAAGGAACGCCTGTTATTCCCGAGACCCAGACTTGGCCTCACTTGACCAGCTTCAGCGACAGAATCGATCTGCAACCAGGCTGCATGGAGGTCAAAAATAGTTGAAAAGTGGTCATTCCATCTTTACTATACACACTCTCCTGCGAGTGGAGTATCAGTTACAAAGTAAACGTCTGCAAGCTGTCGACCTCAAACCGCTCATCCCACCTAGTCGTGCCACGCATACTCAAAACCCTCCCCGTCGATCCCACGCACACCAAGAAGCCCTACAACATAGTTCTGATTAGCGCACGCCAGCTCCTCCCAAGCCTCCACCCATCCCTTGCAGCTTGTTAGCCAGCTGAGGATACTTTTCTTGCACCTCAAGCTGAGTACGTGTGGCCTCCGCGTAAGACAGGGCATTCACGATCTCGCCCTCGGTACGCGAGAGGTCAGCGGCTCGCTCGAAGTACTTCAGTGCTTCGGTCACCTTTCCTTGTTGCAGGAGGAGCTGGGCCATGGTTGCAACAGCGATGTCGCATTCGGGGTCGACTACAATCTGATTAGCGTTTTCTTCCACTTTATGTTGGACAATGACTTACTGATCAAGGCTTTCTGGCAAAGCTTCTCTGCCTCGGCGAAGTCCTGCTTCCATTGGAAAAGGGCGAGAGCCTTGTTGATGAGAGGAAGGACGTTCATGCCTAGAGGCTTAGTCTGCTTCTCCATTTCCACAGCAGTGTCGAACTTTTCGATGGCTTCTTGGTACTTTTGCTGGTCCAATAACAATTCTCCGTAGTAATTGTACACATCCGGAACCTGATCGAAGTTCTTGATACATCGGCGGAACGTAGCCATCGACGAGGCAACCGATCCCATCTTGTATTGAGTGACACCGAGTTGGATGTGGGAGAAGATGAAATCTCTATCCAGGTCGATGGACTTTTGGTAGTCCTTGGCAGCCTCTGCAAACTCTCCAAGAATAAAGTGAAGTTGGGCACGGTGGTAGTAGATATCGGGGTCGTCGTTGTTTTGCTCCATAGCCTTCGCAAAGTCCTCGGCAGCAAGATCCTTTTCTCCTGGGTTTTGTTAGCTGAGCTCATTCAACGATTCTTTTCCACATACCGAGTTCCAGGTGCATGCTGGCGCGCTTGATGAAACTTTGAGTCAATCCAGGTTGCAGATCAACACTCTTCGTCAAATCACTCAATGCTTCAAGGTTCTCTCCACGAAGGTATCTGAATGTTCCACGCATGTTATACGCAAAGGCTTCGTGCTCTGCGAGATCATCGAAGTCCAGAGCCTTGTCGAAAGCAGCCGCAGCCTCCTCGTACCCATCACCAGTCTTCTTCTCCATTGCACGTAGACCAATTTGCAACTGTGCCTTGCCAGTTCCTTCCTCAATTTCGGCATCCAGCTCTAATCCAGCTGGCGGGGGTCGAGCTCGGAAACTTTGCAGGTAGTTTGTGACGAAAGTTGGGCTGGGAAGTCTCTTGTCCTTGCTCGCGAGTATTGCCTTTCCTTTGGCTTCTGCAACTTTTTTAAGAAGGCGCTCAACGGATTGGGCGCTGGCCTCGTTGCGGAACCCATCGATAATACAGCTAGCAGTGAAATCGAGGAGAGCTTCGCTGAACTTGTCAAGGTTCTCGTAAGCATGTGCTCGTCTGTTCAAGGCCTTCACGTATTCATTGTCGAGGTTGATGGCAGCGGTGGTGTCTTCAATGACCTTATCCCATTCATTGAGAGCGTTGTAGCACGCAGCGCGGTTGGAGTAGAAGATTGCGTCGGGCTTGCAAAGAATCGCTTTGCCGTACAGATCGATGGCCTTATCGTAGTTCTTCGCTCCATATGCGGTATTTCCGGCAGCCTTCAGCTTCGCAGCGTACTCCTTTCTCTCTTTCTCAGAAAGGTTTCCCACAGTCAATTCGCTCACTTCTGGGAGTTCTTCCACGGTCTCGACTGTTGGTGCCTTGCGTTCGGGCTTCGGTGTTCCCTTCTCAGGATCTGCGGCCTTCTTCTCCTCATCCTTTTTCCTCCGCTTCTCTTTCTTCGGCTTCTTGGGCGAGTCTCGTCCAGCTGTGTTGGGTTTCTACAAAAGTTTCATGTCAGCTATGATCGGCAAGGGCGCATGGGATTAGCATACCGAGTCAGTCAAATAGTATGCAACTCCAGCTCCTGAGACCACCACTGCAACTCCAGCAATTGTGTACACCACCGCCTTGTTCTCAGCGGCCCATGTTGATATGCGGTCCCAGACGGATGAGGGAGGTCCCGACGACGCGAAATCCGGCATGGGGACGCTCCTCCCAGCAGGAATTGGTCCGGGGGCGGCCATATGTGCGAAAATGGATTATTAAGAGAAGGTACAGATCAAGAAGAAGAAAGAAACAACAAAGACTAATTGATGGTAGCAGATGGCGGTTTCGCGGTGAGATTATGTTCACTTAGGTCGACGAGCTTCGACCAAGAAAAAGATCACCATCCATCCGAGCTCTCGGCGGATAAACCGCGCTAGGCCAAAACCTGTTCCGCTAGCGCCCGCCCCCCTAACCGTCGGCTCGCTTAGATGGGCCTCCATTTCATCCTTCAAGTCTCGAGTCCACATAATGTACCTTGGAGCTTAAAATCCACCTCACCTTTGAACAAACTCAAACATCTAATTAGGAAACTTCAGAAACATCGCTTAACAATAGGATCGTTTCAATTCAGAGGACTGAAGGATCATCTACATATTTTGGTCGCCAGCTCTCAACATTGCTCTTAGCGAAGCTGCTTTATTTACAAGTCAATAAACGATCGGGTGTCCTTGGACAGGCACCGTGTTAGCTCTCCAGGTGCGCATTATGGAAGAATCAAATCCATCTCACTCATTTGCATTTAAGGAAATGGCTAGATCAGATCCATACTATGCACCCAAGGTCAAGTATGTTATTTGTACCTCCTGATAAAGTGCTGAAGACCACAACAGTTGAATGCCCCAGCTTTGCTCAGTACTGACTTCGGTCATAGCCACCACTCTGTATTTACGAAACGAATGGCAAGCTATTCAACGTCAGCTCATATCGGACTTGGGCTCGCTCCCTCTCTCTGATATGCGGCAAAGATTAACCTGGCGCGCCTAATTCTTCCCACGAGCGGGCAGGTCGGGTTGCTTGTTAGTTTTGCTACTCCAGGGGCAGAAAAAACACTTCTTATTATTTGTTTCTTCAAAGACATACATACATTCATTTTTTGTTATTGCCACAGAAGTTTATTGACGTCTATACTCTGCATCAATACTCGATTTTGGAACATTGTGCAATTCTAACATCCCCAGCACGCGGTATCGTGTATTGTCAAGTGAGACCCAACGCTCGGCCATCGATTCCACGTTACGATACTATGTTAAAACCTTCCCCAAGGCCCTCAAACACCAGCAACACTCTTATCTTCATTCTGGTGCATTCCTCTAATCATTCAGGCCATATCTAATGCCAGCTGCCAAAACTGAAGTCCTACCCGTGTCAATCGATATCTCACATTCAAGTCTCAAGCAAATCAATTTTTAAGGACAAAAAATGCATGTTATTCTTGTCTAAATGCTGCGATCTATGCCCAGTGCCTATCCCAAATAGAAACCTCCATCCATCCCCTCCTCTCGTGCACAAGAGTCGCGTCCGGAAGAGATCCCCTATATCCATCCCATCGAAGCGTAAATCCCCGGGGGGAGAAAAAAGAACAGTTGCGAGCCAAGAGAGACCAACGTGCCAGTCTTCTTGGCCGCCCTGCCTATATTATCAAACAGTCCATCGTAGAAGCGATTTTTTTTTTTGTTGTTGTTATCGTGTATGTATGTGAGTGTGAAGTGTAACGAAAGCTCGAGAGAGTCGAGCCATCGGATCGAATACTGTGGCGGCCACGTACTAAGCCGCTGTGCTGGGTCCTGCGAGGCATGCGGAAGGATAACGAGGGGTGTTGTTGTCAAGTCATCTTCGGTTGGGTGTTCGCATGGTAGGCGCTAGAGCGGCGTGTATGTGGTTTGGTGGCCGGGGAGTATTTAGGATCGCTGAACGGTGCAGAACTGTCCACCGGCGCGCTGGACGGTGCAGAACTGTCCACCGGCACGCTGGACGGTGCAGAACTGTCCACCGGCACGCTGAACGGTGCAGAATTGTCCACCGGCACGTTGCACGTTGCAGAACTGCCCACCGGCACGTTGCACGTTGCAAAATTGTCCTCCGCGTTGAGCCATGTTGTAGATTGGGGGGGTTTTCTTGAAGAAAGTTTGTTTGAGTGTGTGTGTTTGTGTAAGAGCGAATGTATTGATGGTGAGGAAAGAAGTATTCTGGAGGGCGAGCAGCGAGACTTTATAGAAATTCCAGTAAGCAGTTCTTCACCTACTTGTTTTGAGAGGCTAGCCACTCTGATTTCGGGCAGGAGCCATCTCCAGTATCTTCGGACAAGGGGTTTCTCGTGGTGACCACTCATAGCAGTGAAGTCATCTTTTTTCTGAGCGTTTCGGGCCCTCCTGGCTTGTACTCGCCTCCTTACTGCCTTGTTCCCATGAGAGTCGATGGGAATCAACAAAGCAGTACTGCTTTGTTTTGAAGTATATCTGACTATTCTAGAAGGTTGAAGTTGTGATGTTGAAAGCGGAAAGCTTAGTATTGTTCTCGCTTAGCTACCCCTTAATATTGTTCCCCCGCTTAATATTGTTCTCTTACTGAAAGGACACCGACCACGTCCGTCCTATAGCGGAATTTCAACAGAAATTTGAGGATTCTAGACTTCTTCAATCCAAGGGGTAAGTGATCATGTGTCGGTGGTGCTGATAATACCAAATGGTCGAAGCCAATTAGAGAAGTTGGGGCCGACTTCTAGATCATATCCGGTCGCATGCTCACATAGAAAGCTTTGTCGCCAGATATCAGGACTGGAATTTGCAAGTTACTCGAGACCGGGGGTATCCACATGTTTGCGAGTTCCCAGACTAACTTTTGTTTGAAGATCTCTTGTCTCTACGAGTGCATCGAGCCAATCTAAGTCGAAATCCTCCCCTGAGACGTGTTTGACTACAAAGCTATGGGCTGCAACCTCTTGGAAGTTCGTGCACAAGCGGTTATCTCAGAGATTTTGGGTATCTTGAATGCTGCATCGAGCCGATCTTGGTGGAGTTCCTCCTCGTTCGATTTCAAACATACGGAATGTTGATATTCCCTGGCTCCTTCCACCCCCCAAAGAACTTGGCGTGGTATTCCTGAGGAGATCCAATGCCATGCTCCGTATCGATTCCCTCGCCCCCTTTTCTCCTCAGCTGCATCGAGCGAGCTTCGGGAGAGCAACTTCCTTCACCATGGCCAAGCACCATATGCGTCTCACAGAGGTTATCGAGGGAGATCAAAAAGTCGGGCCATATTCTTTTGAGGATCTGGCGGATTTAGGATAGGCAGTATGACACTTATTATCGGCAACAATCTCTTAGTTTGCTCCTTATCCAAAGATCCGAGGCGTTGATTTGGTTCCCTGGTTACCCTGTTACCGGATTGAGGGAAAGCAGTCACATACATACTTTCATCAGAATCGCTGTAGCCGAGAGCTCAAGTGGAACCGAACCACCTCCCTGGAACCGAACCAACTCCTCGGAAAGAAGCATTTGATCCCCTGGAACACGGCCCCCGCTCTGATTAACCAAAAGTATCTTTTCTGCTTTCGCTAGCAAAGGACTTTGCAACTGTCATTGCAGTCTGAAGACCGCTCGTCTGTCTCTACTCTGTTGCTCTTCTCCTTCCGAATATCGGGAATGCAAACCATATGCACATCCCAGACAAGCTCACCGATACTTTCATCGCCTCCAGGATCCGAGTGAGAAAGAAGAGGAGAACATCATCCCTGAACAGCGAACGAATTCTGAAGCCACATTTCCTCATGCATCTCTGCCTTTCTCAATCCCCAAACCCGGGAAGGCCGGAACATAAACTTTTGGGGGACTCGACGAGAACTGTCCTTTCGTTCCCTCGAGGACTTCGCTGCCTTGAAGATTGCGATGGCTGGGATGGCTGCCAAGTTTACGTTGTCGAGACTGAGACGGATGCCTAGGCCGAAAATGCATATTTCTAATATGGCTACAGCTACAAAGTCTGAAGTCTTTATGATCATTGAACATGAAGCATCAGAACTTGATGCGATACAAGCCGGCCACAGCCTTTTCAGCAGTTTGACACATCTTTGACGGATAGCATCGGAAACAATTTGCCAACAGCCACCACCTTACAAGATAGGGACCAAGACGAATTGCCGGTCGCCACATCCCCCATAGATCCGAAATAAACATATTTGACGCACTCCAACACAACAGTGAGGTGTAACGGGAGCTACAGCTTATCATTAGCTATACATCCAGCTGGGTATTGTGTCGCACTCTACATTGCATCATCATAGTCATCCATCATCGCTATATGAACCCTACCGTCATGCAGCGCTCGCCGAAGCCGTCTTCGCAGCTTCCTTGGCCGCCCTCTCGGCCTCCTTCGCGGCCTTCTTCGCAGCAGCTTTCTCAGCATTCTGCTTCTCCTTGGCCAACTTTTTCATTTGATTCTGCGTCAATGGCACCGGTCCCCCATTTGCTGCCCCATCCGCAGCAGGAGCTGTCTCGCTCTCCTGAGCCGTCACAATCGGGTTCGGATTTCCCACCCACTCCAGCTTCTTGGCATTGAAGAAATCAGCCACAACCTCGTCAGTGACTTTCGCCCTCCGCTCTTGGAAGCCCTTTACGTAGTCCTGCAACTCCTTGATACATCGTGCTTTGAGCTCTCCCGTCAACATCCTTCCACTAGAGTAGTCTTGGCGGATCTGCTCGAGCTCTGCGTCGTCCTCGAGGAAGAACGTCAGGTACTGATACGAGACGTCTTGTTCGCAGTCTCCACCATCCCTTCTATGCTCCTCCACCAAGACCTTTCCGCCGCTGAATGCATATTTGTTGATCTTGTTCTTGATCTTGGCAGGATCATCCGCCATGAAGATTGCAGAAGTGTCAACAGAAGCGCTCATTTTGGAGCCTGGGCCTTGAAGGGCGTCGAGGAACCGCGAATGAATGAGAGCTGGCTTGGCGAAGTGGAGGCGGGCTGCGACATCTCGTGTCATGCGGAAGTAGGGGTCTTGGTCGATGGCGCAGGGAATAAGGGAGGGAATTAAGTTGGTGACAGCTTCGTTGTCGCCAAAGATATGGGGGAAAGAGGATGCGAACGATGTAGCACCTTGGATGGCTCCGAAGTGGACTTTGCCAATGTTGGAGCTTCCGTCGAAACCAAAAACAGCTCTTGCAACATTTAGAGTGACGTGCTTCGCGACTCGTGTAACGTTCCGGTAGAACGCTCCTCCCATATACTCGTAGTCGCTAAAGATGAATGTCTTCTTGGGATCGAAGCCGACGGCAATGATGTCCTTTGCATTTCCCTTGGTATATCTCTGGACTTCCTCAATTGTGCGTTTCTCTGAGAAGAGGTACTTCTCGTCGTCGGTCATCATGATTATCAGGGGTACATCGAACACATCTTGTAGCCACCTGTGAGTCATCAGTAACTATCCGAATTGACAACTCGATTGTAGCTGCAGTGAGTTCGCAGATGTTGGAGAGCAGCGCTCACTTCGTAAATTCGAAAGGGACAGTATGTCCAATGTGCATACTGTCACTACTCGGTCCCCGCCCCGTGTACAAGAAGAACGGCTCCCCCTTCTCATGGCGATCCAAAATCAGATTCAAGTCACGATGACTGAACACGATGCCTCTCCGCATAAACCGATGCGGCTTCTTCCCCGTCACTTGCTCGAATCGCTTCAGGTCCTCTTCGAGAATCCTCTTGGTGCCAAACTCGTCGATTAGAGACATGTAGTTAATGGCTTTGGTGACACCGTCAACGCCGACTTCTCCGGATACATTCCATGGATCGATACTCTGCTTCGTTCCCGTGGCTGGGACGGGCGCATCTGCAGCCAGCGCTGCTGTGGCTGTGGGTTCGGGGTCGGGGTCGGCCATTCTGAGAGTGTTGTTGTTGTTGTTGTTGTTGTAGTTTTGAAAGGGGGAGGTGTCAAGAAGAGATCGATAAGAATTTTGGCGAGGGGTACTGGTGGGGGTATGTACGGAGTACGGTAGCTACTCCGTACAGCTCGGAACAACTCCTAGGCGCTAGACCTGATCGGGGTCAGAATCTGGGGTATTACCGATGATTGGCCGATTTGACAATTAATCCGGAGAATTAATGCGCATCCACAGCGTCATCCATCCGCTCAGGCACCCACCACATCATACCACACCACACCACCTGTCTCTTCTCCCCTCCCTTCCTCTCCTCTCCTCTCCTCTCCAATACCTGCTACACATCAATTCGTATCTCCTCCAAACATCAATCAATCATAATGGTCAAGTTCAACGAGTCCTCCTTCTCCTACGACTACTCTTTTCCCGCCGTGACCCTCGCCTACTTCCTCCGCTACCCCAACCCGTACAGCACCCACGTCCTCTCCACCGATGTCATATCGCGCAGCACCGACGCCGCAGGCCGTCTTCACACCCTCCGCGTCCACCGAAAGTCCTCACGGCTGCCTTCTGCGGTGCTGAAACTGCTGCCGCAATCTGTGCTGGGGAACGTGAGTGGCGGGCGTTCCGAAAGCTACATCCTCGAAACCAGCATCATCGATGTGAAAGAAGGATGGATGAGGACCGAGAGCAAGAACCTCGATTGGACTGGTATACTGAGCGTGGTGGAGAAGCAGGAGTACAGACGCCAGGTTCCTGTGGACGAGGGCGAGGATTTCAGCGTTGGTGCTGGAACTACAGGCGTCGTTACAACCGTCATGTTTCGCAGCCGGCTTGGGGACCGGCTGAGGGCGAGGGCGACGAGAAAAGGGGAAGTGGGTGTGGGTGAGGAGGGGGATGAGCCGAAGAAGGGGTTTCTGGCGAGCTGGAGTACGAGTGGGATTCAGAGAAGTATTGAGGCCATTGCGAGTCGTAAGACAGAGAATGGGCTGGCGAAGAGTAAGGAGGGTATGAATGTTGTTTTGGAGAGGTTGAGAAATGGGGGCTTGGTGGCCGTGCTGGATGGGATGAGGAAGGATAAGGAGAGGATGAGTTTTGGAAAGGAGGGCGCCTGAAGGGGTGCGAAAGATGATACCATACGACCGTGTCGATACCAATACATAAGAAACGAGGATGGAAGGAGATTTTTATGAGGATGTATTTCAGCGCATGTCGCTTGTTGTACAAATACATCCTGGAAGCGAGGAGTCTGGGGCAGGTATTCAGGCGTTTTTGGCTCACTAGTCCACTCTTTCAATGTAAAATGTCAGTCCTTTCCTTTCCAGCAGCGCACGCGCCAGGAGAAAAATGAAGCGTCAAACCACAGCAGGTGTGGAAATTTTGGTTGTTCAGACTCTTTCTGGCTTTGAAAATCTGTTTGAATATTCGCCGATTACATGTTGACTTGTACTTAGCTTGCCTCAATATTCCAACCACAATCTTCAGTTTCCATATCCAAACTTAATATGTATCCTCACATAACTTTCAGTATCCTACATGCAAGTTCATCTACCGATTTACCCAAAGTATTATAACACAAACCTCTAAAACTCCAACTCAGCACCCCTCCCCCTCTTCGTCGGCTGCGCCGTCTCATTACCAAACGTCGCATCCGGCTGCTGGAACGGCATCGCCGTAAACGAGGCATTCGACGACAGACTATCGATCCTGCCAAGCAGGAACTCGAGATGTCTGTAAGATGCCGATGGGGCATATTGCGGGACCACTTTCGATGATATCAGCCGGCGTGCGATTTATCCAGGGCTTGATGGGAGGGGGGTGAAGGCTTACTGTGGCCGGAGAGATCGATGCTGACCCAGGTCAGGCCGCGCTCTGTGTGGGTTGTCCCCAAGACTCCGGATCCAGCTAGGGTGGAGGGACTGATATCATCGTGATAGGGAACGAGGAAGGGGTCGGAAGGCTTTTGCGTGAAGCCTTGGGCGCCGTTCCAGGTCATGTTTTGGATCATGAGGAGGGTGCCGTTGGAGATGAGGACCATGTCGAGAGCCTGTTGGGGTATTATGAACAGGTTGCATCAGAGAGAGAGAGAGAGAGAGAGAGAAAGAGAGAGTAAGGCACAGCACGACGACTCACCCCATGCCCAATAACAGTCCTCTTACTCCTCTCAATAACCCCCGGAAGCACACTCAACCCCGACGGAGGCGAGTTATCCGTAGTCAGCACCCCATCCGAACACTCATCCCAGTTCCCAAGCGGCGCATTAATCGCCTTCTGCACATCCGTCCTGTTGAAATAGATCGTCGCGCCCTCCGGCAGATACGTCTGGCTCCCCGGAAACCCAAGTACATCCCACAGTTGCGGGCACGTAGTCGCCACCTGGTAGATATCCCAACACGGGTTGAGCCAGAAGATCTCGTACAAGATGGCGTCGAAGACGTCGCAGTCGTCCGTCGTGCGGCCGTTCTCGTCCGTGCCGGGGAGCTCGACGGGGAACGGACCCGGGGGCGGAAAGGTCAGGTATTTCTCTAGGTAGGAGGTGTAGCCGCAGGAGTCGGACATGTTGTGCAGAAAGGCGTTGTAGGTGTCATTGAAGGGGTGGAGGCCGGACCAGTAGTCTATGAACTGGACGGCGGGGATTTGCTCTTGGATTTGGTCGGATGAGGTGGAAGGATCGTATATCATGGTTGCTTCGACGTTGAAGTAGGTCGTGTCGTTCTTGTTCAGCATGGCGTCTGCGATGTATGGCACTGTGGAAGTAATCGTCAGCATATTCTCGCTTAGGTTTTTGTCAAGATGGGTTTATTATGGCTTCCACTCAGTGTCAGAGAAGGGTTGGGATGATGAACTCACCATAATAACCAGCAAAGCTTTCGCCAGTAATGAAGACCTTACGCCCTTGCAAGGCGAACGTATCCATAAAATTCTTCCAAAATCCTAGGAACTGCTCGGCTACCATCGTCTGATCCGGTAGCCGGTAGGTGTGCCTTGAGAGAATCCGGTCCCAACAGGCTGCTCAATCCAAACAACGTTCGTCAATTCGACCCAGCTGTATGGATTAGGGACTGGCTTGTAGGTTCCGTATTGCCAGAGGAAGGGTCCGTTCTCCTACGATTGGAGTTAGTAATCGTTCTACGAATTCACAAACTTTGACAATATTCGTTAGGACGTCGAAGCTTCAATCTCGTTAGGCCAAGGACACTAGAAGTTGACGCCGAACCTGGACCTTCTTCCGATAGGTTGTTTAAAGGATCTTTAAAAGGACAATATATACCTGAAGAAGACCCTCAAGAGATGAGCATCCCGGGCCTCCATTGAGCCAGATCAAGATCTCGTCACTCGCTTCAGGATTCTCTGACGGGAAGAACCAGAAGTAGAGCTGGCTACTCTCGTTTGCTGCCTTTGATATTGGCATTAATCCAGCGTAAGACTCTCCGATATCAAAGTCCACATCTGGAATCCCTGTACCGTTGACGGTGTACTCTGAAAGTCCGATGAGATTTCGTTCTCCCAGATGGTAAGGGCTTGATAGTACATACTGGCGGTAGAATTGGTCAGATAACGAGCAGTATCACGACGCTGATGCATCTGGGGATCTCTCTCCTGCATCTTGCGAGGCTTGTCTGCTTTCCCGACATGCTTCAGACTTCGGCCAGAGTGCCCAGCAGCAGAAGCTATACCAGCAGCAACTGCGAGAGCGGAAATAAGAATGGTTGAGCAACGCATCCTGAATTCGAAGCCGAAAACTCAATGAAATTTACAACTCGCAACAAACAAGAGGGGCGGGATAGAAATGACAGACAGCGGGGTCCCCGGGGCTTTTAAGAATTTCATCCTCTATCTACTCCACTACTAGCTATCCGATGACGAGGGCAAATCAGCTATCATACAAGAAGAACCAGCAGACTGCACTCCGAACTACCTATATCAGCCCTCATCCGTCCTCGGTAACTGTCCGAGGCACATTCGGACCTTGCATCGTATCTTCCCGGTCCAGAGATCTCCAGGATCATCTACCGTGTCAGGTTAGGCTTCAAAGATAGCAGCGGCTTCTCGCTAGCCGTTCGACAGTAAGTGCTTCCATACTCGATCTAGCGCGCGCAGCGTCGACGGCATGTCTTGGTCTCGAGTCAAGCTTTTTGGAACCTGCTGCATAAAGCTTGGACTGGAGCCCAACAGATGTACCGGCGGTGGGATGGCTTCTCCAACGAGCTTGGAGGAAGCCGACATTTTCGCTGTGCCTCTCTTCCGTACTAATCGCCTTGGTCATATCAGTAACGGTAGCTGAGTGACCAGAAGATAACGCCGCGCATAAATGGGGTTGTCAGGATAAGCAAGGGCAAAGCGTTACTATTCATGGTCAACACAAGCTTTCCCTGGGCCGCCAGCTCCACGCGATATGTATTCTCCGCTCCAATAGTATAAAGAATGTCATCTGTCACCTTCCCACCTGGGCCCTATCAAGCGGGTAGTGCGTAGCTGAAGATCTCGCAGAAATTCATGATAGTAACGCGGCAGGTATGTGAACGACAGCGAATGACATAACATACATGGTCCCCAAGTGCCAAATATTCTCTCGAGAAAGATGGATAAAGTGGTTATCATGGTATCGCATCAAGCCTTTTCGAAGAAAATCAATTGAGTTTTGCGACACGACCATCGAGATACAATACCAGTCCACACAAACACGCAAATGCCTCCTTTCATTTGTTTTCTAGATCCTAAATCTCAAACTTCTGTTTCGCCCCTCTGATTCTCGGTTTAAGACATAGATCACGGACCTGAAGGGTAATCCGTATATTTAAATACGAGACATCGTTGCTTTTTCCAACAGGTCCAGCAGCATAGCCAACCCACTTTGAAATTCACATCGGCTATTCAACTTTGTACTCTCTCAATCATAGCGTGCGACTGGATGATTTCTATATCGACGTCCTACTTGTACTGCGGTTTACATATGGTAGCGAATATTGTGCGCGCCAAATATCCAAGAATCATTCTCGGCGCAACATCCCACGGCGTTGTTTATTTTCGGGTTGAAGATTTCGAGTCTGCTTTATTTTCCTACTGACCGCGGCATCTCTCCAGATATGACTGGACATGGTAACTTCGGGACCAGCTGTTGCAGGGTGCGGCAAATCGACAAGCGCAAGAGTGGAATGAATGGCAGTCTATCCCCTCCAGCTTGAAGAGGCACATTTTCGCTTAACTGCCGATTCCACCCCTTTCACTTCAAAGTATCAATCTCTCCAGACCTTTGATGCATTTGAAAAAGACATCTATGCAAAGCTGATAGTCCCATAATTAACGCTGATTAATCGATATGATGATCACTATTCGATGCCGCAGATTATCGTGGTGCGAGGGTGGTCAGAGCAGACTGATTCCAATATATATATATATATATATATATATATATATATATATAACAAAAC